ACACAGCCCTACTCACAGCGTTTTCTGTTGCTGGAGATTTTTCCTGATGCAGCGCAGCGTTCACGAAGCGAAAACGTGACCGGAGCTGTTTGCAACGTTTCGTTTCGTTTCTCGAGCTGCTGTTTGCCGCCGCGTGGTCGTGAACGATTCATGAACGAATCGTTTTGTTGAATCGACTCACAAAACCAACGGAATTGAACGGTTTTTCTAGCCTCTGCACGCGTCTGTGGTGTGAGGATGAATAACATTAACAACTTAGTCTGTTAACCACAATGTAAAATTAGATAATTTGGCACACTCTATTTCTGTAGGCTGTAGCTGGCTTCCACTTTCTGTGGGCATCAAACAGAGTCGTTTTATGGAGAATAAAGTTGACTTGATTAATGATTGTTGTAGATGCCGTCCACGGAGTAAAGAAGAATCGCAGAATCGGATCGGCTCTGCCGAATTGGTTCGGTAAACTCCGCTGCAGGTCGTGTTGGTGATGTTGGGGCAGCTGACGTGTGTTGTGGTAACTGTGGGCGTGTGTAAATCGAATCGACCCCCACTTTGTTCTGTATACTGTAAACTAAAATGTTTGCTCCCTAATGTATCCCACAGTGCAACGCTAAACGTTGAATGAACACATAACCTGCGTCTAAAACGTTACTAAAACAGTATACCGCCATAGGAAGTGCAGTAGTATGTGGTTTTGGACACAGCCGTGTAGTATGTGGTTTAGAACCGGCGGGAAGAAAAGAGCTCAAGATGGGGACCAACCGCTTTAACGTTCACAAACTTACATTCATATTTAAGCACTTACAGTCCTTAAACATTTAGAATATAAATATATTCTAAACTATGGTGTTTGTCAAAGCTGAAGTGTGTATGTTGTTGAGCTGTTCAGTTGTACATTTGTCACTCAAACATAGCTCACTTAGCAGTTAGCTAGCTCACCACTTCTACATAAAGAGGAAAGGATGTAGTTCTGACTCAACATTAAAAGCTTTCCCGTCTTAATAGTCCCCTTACATAAATTTCACAAAGCAGGATTTCTCAGTAAGCTGGATAACTTTCATTTTTCATTTTTTCAAAATGTCAAGCAATCAGATGGCTAAGATGTAAAGTCAGTCAAACCAGTTTGGTGTGAAAGGCTTAGTTCTTGAGAAACTTAGCTCAGAACTGTTCACAGTGGTGGTGATAGGAACCAGACATCTGAAGAGTTTAATGCCTCTAAAAGCTCCCTCACAGAAAGTTGTTACATGAAATGGTTATGAATACGCTGCCAGATTTCTGGGACATTGTTTTACAGTTTTGTGATAAAGTTTTAGTGTAAAACGTATTTTAATACAGTTTATTTCAAGGGTGTTGTAAGGCAAAAAAGTCCCCAAAGAAAACTTCTTTTTTCAGACTGACCACTATTTTACCATCACCGACATTACTTATAAAACTCAGGAGATTTGTAGATTCGGTGGTGTTTTTTGTTAGTAAATAAACTGGCATATTATTGCATTGTAGATATGGGGCCTCCTGGTTCCTATCACCACCACTGTAAAGAAATCTGAGTCGGTTCACATCAAACCACTCTAAAATTGTTTATCTCAACCACTGAATTCTGCAGGCATTTTGAAAAAATCATTGGAATTCCCCTTTAAAGTGAGGACTGTCCTTTCCTGAACATATAATTTTGATTTCAGTTACCTGGTTAACTGAGAAATCTTGTTTTGTGAGATACATACAGAACAATACATGTATTTGGGACACACCCTACATAACACATAAAGAAATAATGTCAGTGTCAGAGAGAATTAGAGATGTTGGACTGCATTTTGTCATGAGTCATCTGAAACAGTTAAATGTCTTGTAACGTCTGTGCTCTTGCATTCTTGTTTTTTTGTCTATTTTTTTTCTATTTCTTGGTATATTAGATGTCTACAACCTCACTTGTGAGCTGAATCCACAAGTTACTATAATGTAAGATTATTACAAATTTTAAAGCATACTTTATGTGTATTTTACTGAGTTGAACATATTGGAGAAAAAAGTTAAACATAAAATATAAAATGTGCTGTAAGTTTTTTTTATGTTTTATTTATTTTCCCCCCAATATATTAAAGTCAGCAAATAAACAGTAATTTGCATTAAAATGTGTCTCTGTCAGGATGTGTTTATTTATTTTCACTTAGAAAATTAGCAAAGCATGTCATTTAACCAGGGCGCACAAACTTTTGCATAGGACTGTGTATGTACAGCTCCGTAACCTTTCAGTAAGGTGACATGTAGAGGGAAAAACATCAAAATTCACAGTAGTAAATTTCTATTCTGTTAATAAATGTATTTCATAAGCAAGGCTGGCCGTTCGGTAAAGCGCCGCTCTTTTAAACAACCTGTCACGTTTTAAGTCTGTTGACGGCGCAGCAGGTTCTCGTGATCCACCGATCTCGCGTGATTTCGCGTGTTTTTGCTGAACAGAGAGAAAGAGCCAGAGCTCCTGAGCAGCGGGCTGCGTGACCACAGTCCGGCCGCAGAACACAACAGGGCTCAAACGCTGCACAGCTGGGAGAAAACACTGCACGACTGCTGTAAGAGCGGTGAGGTTTAACAGAGGTGCACGTTTTTAGTCAAGATCAAGACAAATGAAAACGTACTTTGATGGAATTAAAATTATGAAATCTGTTGCTAATATGTGTTTTATATTTATTACAGTGTTTAACCATCTGATCCCTCGGCCTCTGAGTAGGTGTTTATCTGTCGTTCTGCGTGCTTTACTACGGATTAATTTCTGACCCCTGTTGTTCTCTGTTTATCAGTGTTTTTACACCCGCTACAGGTCGAGCTTAACTCGGCCGCCATCCTGTGGCAGTGGTGCGCATTCGCAGTCAGACTGTCCGTAATTTTTTATGTGTGTAAAATATATATATATATATATATATATATATATATATATATATATATATATATGATTTCTTCCTGTATTTTCACTTACAGTTACAGTTGCTCACTTACAGGGAGTTTGGGCTCCCCAGTTAAGTGACATGTTTTGTTGATTTTCACACTTCTGCACATTTTAATGCACAGTGACTGTTTATTTGCTGATTGTAACATTTTGGGGAAAAATAAAATATAAAATGTGATTAAAAAAATAAGTGCAAGATGTTGACCAACCACTCTTAACATTCACATTTAAGCAGTTATAGTCCTTAAACATTTAAGATGCAAGTATATTCTAAACTGTGATGTTTGACAGTGTTGAAATGTGTAATGTACTGAAAGCTTTACGTGAGATGAAAGGCCTGTGCAGAATTATAGTATTTTAATCTCAGCAAATAAATAGAAATTGTGCACTTAAAATGCAAAATGCTATACTTAAGTTTGTTCCCTGTAAAGGGTGTGTTCACTATTTCTCACCTAGAAAATCAACCTTGTATCTCCATTTTTGTCATTTTTTTTCAGTTTTGGGCAATTTGAAAATGCCTGTTGCCCTTTACCTTGGGTGTAAATTTCGTGAAGTATGGACCAAAAGTAATGACCCAAAACTAATTGGAACAATATCTGGTTCCACTGACGTACATTAAAAGCAAAGTATGTTTTTTCCTTCTCCTGTAAAGTTACCATTTTGGAGATATTTGTTGCTTATACATGTATAAGATAATTCAAGCAATAAAATTACAGAGCTGTGGATGATTCCACAGTAACTGAGAAAGCTGTAAAACACTGAAAATGGAGGTAAAATAAAACTAACATCCCTCATAGTCAAGAAAAAGTGAATTTATGGTTATTTTGTGACAAGAAATTACTATAGATAATTAGTTTATTTATTAACACTGACTATTTGTCTTACTGTTCTCAAAATACTGTTAATGAGCCATCAGTGTCTAGTATATATTTTAGTCTACACTGTATTTCATTGAATAAATGAATTATTAAGTGATATTAGTGATTTAAAACATCTTTTGTTTTTACACTTCAAATAAAAAGCATGCTTCTGTGCCCAGAATATGATCTGTTTAGGTTAACAGTACTAATACATGTTTATCTTTATGTACTTTTGATGAAGTAAAGAACTCCAGTTAGGCAAGCAGTAAGAACGTCAGTGTGGATACATACAATTACAATTAGATATCCTATTACGGTCAGGAGTATATCTGTAACAATTGAGAATACTCTGAAAGAGTATCTTTGTGTTTTGCGTTTCTGGTTAACAACAGATTGTTAGTTCTTCTAATCTGCCAGCTATATTAACCTCTTCTATGTTAACCTCCTGTAATAGACTGATGGGTCACATTTATTCTGGTTTTATTTAATTTAATGTATACCTAACTTCACGTTCTGGTCATTTCAAACACAAAATTTAAAGGGAAATTTTTGTCTGTTTCTGCATAATTCAATAACTGAGATGTAAACAAAGTCAAATCAAAGTGTTCTGCTGTGAAAAGGTTAATTGTAGAGAAACTTCCTAACTCTTTCCAGTGGTGGCGATAGGAACCAGGGGACAGAATGTCTATAACACAGATAGTCATTTTATTTACTATTAAAATGACCAGTGAACCTACACGTCTTTTAGTTTTTAGATGTAACTTTGTTGATGGTAAAATTGCATTTTCTTTGGGACTATTTTGCCGTAGAGCACATGAACATGGTATGTAGCTCTCTGCTAAAAATCCTTTTAAAAGCTTTTAAAAAGGTGTCTCCATTTCAAATTGATCATAAAACAATGTCCCAGGCAGCATATTTGTAACCATTTCATGTAATATGTTCCTTGAGTGTCTTTTTAGATGCACTAAATGCTTCAGATGTTTGGTTCCTATCACTGCTGCTGTGAACAATTCTGACTTGGTTCCTCAGTTTCTGTACATATACAATTCACATCAGTCCACTTTGGATGACTGTTTTAACAATTTAATTCTGCTTAAGTTTGAAAAAATTGATGGAAATTCAAATGGAATCCCTGAAAACTTCTGAATTTTCGTCTTCTCTCCATTTGGAAGCAACAACAGCGTCACACTGAGAGGTCCACATCATGAAAGGGTGCATGTTCTTTATTTTAAATACAAAAAGGGTTCCAAAACCTTCCATTTGATATCAACCAGCATATGAACAGCACAGCACAGAAAGCCATCAGTGGATTTATAATTACATACAAAACAATGAGCGTAACTGCCACCTAGTTGCGAATAACAGGAGTTCACTGTAAGAGTCTTGGTTTAATCGGAACAACAACATCAAGGTTATGACCACTTTGGCATTTACTAAGTGATAACGTATTAAATGTGAACTATTGGAGCAGATCTTGTCTAGTCTTTCTGAACTGTTTTACATATGCTAGATCTGCGACTGACTAAAGGAGACAACACAATCCAACTCAGTTAGAAAAGTATTGCTTTAGAAAACAACAAAAAAACCCATCCCAATCATTAAGATGTTTAAGGTTTTCCGTAATATATTTACTATCACATATATTTACAAATATCAACATTCAGTACACATGTTGTATCGATCCTTCTGAAGAATATATGGCTATGTGTATTTACAGAGCAAATTTGAGCAACCCATAAGAATTCATCTTACTACAGTCAATCACTGACCAGTGTGTGAAACAGGCATGGTGGGAGGGTATATTAAGGTCACGTGCAAATCCAAATGCAAAAGAAGGGAAATGAATGTAGATTTTGATTACTTTAGTCTCAAAGGCCTCTATTTTCTCCCACAGCACAAAGCTTACCTGTTTTTAATATAAACAAGCCTTGCTTTTCTGAGCGGGGCATTATGACTAATGCTGTAATTAATGGCTAAAAGATGGTATATTTAGAAAAAATCACCGATCAAAAAAAAAAAGATTTGATAAACAGTACAGCCAAGCCAAAACCCCACAAAATGACTCAATATGAGAATAATTTAAAAAGAAAAAAATAGTGTTTTTCATCATTTTGGGTCAACCTGTTTAAATGAAGGTGAACAAATAAACAAAAAAAGACTTTCTACACGGGTACAGGCCGAAAATTTAAATATACAAGTTTTTAATCCTTAAGCTTATTTTGTCAACCCTCAATCTGAACTCGTGTACACTGACCTAGTGCCATCTTTCTCTGACTTAAGCCTATGGTAAATTATTATATCAGAAAACGTGAAGAATAAGATCACTGTAGCAGTTTGAACCGTATGCATTTGTGTACGGAGGACACAGATACTGGAAGAGTGGAGCAGAGCCCATGTTCACCCTCACCAGTAGATGGCAGCATCTGCCAGTGCCCCATTTCTATTGGCATTCCAGGGCACACCATCCAAACAGTGTCCGTTCTGCTGCTCCGTCCATGTCATTTCAGAAAGACCAGGTAGAACGCCATACACAAACAGGACAGCGCCACGCCAACGTGCAGCCGTGTTCCGATTACGGCAGCTGTGGAGGAAAAAGAAATGTGGGAATGATTATGCTCAGTATGAACAGGACCACTACACTACATGTCCAAAAGGATCCAGACACTCCTTCTAATTGAGCTACTGTAAAGTGAACACAGCTTGTATGATCTCTATATATTTCCCAATAGAATGGGATGCTGTGGAGCAGTCACAAATGAGCTTGAAGTCACCATGCCCAATGCCAAGCATGTGCTAGAGGGGTATAAAGCCCCCAGCACTGGGGTGTGGAGCAGTGGAAATGGGTTCTCTGAAGTTGTGGAGCTCCATCCAGTACCTCTGGGATGAGATGAAGTGGCATTTGTGATCTAGGACTGATCATCTAATGTCAATACCTAACCTCACTAATGCTCTTGTGGCTGAATGCAATCAAATCCTCACAGCAACATTCTAACATGTAGTGCTGCCTACTCAGAAGAGTAAAGACTGTCACTACAGCAAGGAAAGGGGCAAACTCCCCATTAATACCCTTGATTTCAGAAGAAACACTAAATGAGCAGCTGTCTACAAACTTCTGGACATGGTGTATTACAGGCACATAACTTCACAGGTGAGGCACCTTTAAAGAAACACTGCTATATTCTTCATTGAGATAAAACTTCAGGGTAATTTGAAACCTTCGGGGGGAACCAAGTAAGCAGAAACACAGCTTACCTTTGTAAAAGACTCCCCAGACTCCCTTTTTCTCTGACAAAAGCCAGCTATTCAGACGAGGGACCTTCTTCAGGTATGCACAAGTGCAAATGAAGAGAAGCCCAAACACAAGGATGCCGTCAAAGGAGTATACTGAGGACAGAAATGGAAGAAGAGGGTAAATGCTCTCTTTTAGGCCTAAACCTGTAGGACCAGAAAAGGTTCTCCAATTGTTACATGCTTGGCATTGTAACAGTAGCAGAGCCCTTTTTGGTGCTATAAGGAACTATTTTCAAAATGGTTCTACTTAGAACCAACATACAACACATTCTCTGCAAAATCATGAAATGGTTCTATATAGAACTCATGGTTCTAAATGGAATCATTACTTAAATGTGTAGTAAAGATCACACCTGGCTTGCGATGTGTCTAACCATTCCTATCTTTCTCCCTGTCTCACTATGTTATATTATTATTGTAAGTCTCATAATTAAACCAAAAAGTTGTTTAGATGACGTGGTAATGTTTAATTTACAAAGAAAATGTCCACTTATATAGACAGCTTGCATGAAAGGGTTTAGACATGGTTTAGAACACATGCTTGTTTGTTCAAAGGAAAAAAAAAGCATATATTTTAAACTATTAGTTAGATGTTAATGATTAAAAGACACAAATACACGTAACGATGTAGCTCACGTTCAGAAAAGTGCAAGACAGCCACAGGTGAGACAGCTAACCTAGCTGGTTACTTAGATGCTTAGCTGTACACTTCTTTTAACGTAAGAAATGTACTGATAAAATGGAAATGTATGATCAATGTAGCAATTAAATAAAGTGTTGGGACAAAGGAGCAGTATCTAGTGACATGAAACTAAGTAGCTAAAGTATTGAACAGAGTTAAAATTACCTAGCAAGATATTTTATTTCCCAATTAGCAAAGCTAGGTAGCTAACCTATCTCTCCTTGACTGACTAGATGACGTGTATGCCTGTAAAAGGCGTCTCCAGCAGCAAAAACTTACTCATTTACTTCCAAACTTCACTAACACATTTACTAGCTACTTGACAGAAGATCTCAAACAGCCTGACTGATGTCTGACACGGTATTTAAACATGCGGCTACATCAAAACAAGCCACGTCCACACAAACAGCCCAAGCCGAGCTAGCTACCGCTAGCCTGCTGAGCCGTAAGCTAACGTTGCCAAGCGAACTAGCTTACAGCTGCTTCCTGTTTTCAGTTTCTGCCCGCTATTAAAACGACAGCCTTATGTCGAAATGCGCTCTCTTTCATTGACCTACCATTTGTCATGGTGGCAGTGTTGTATTCTTCTTTAATTCAAAGTAAAACTCCGTTTCTAGGTGGTGTCTATTCGCCGCTCATAATCAGCCTCCATTCCAAATCAACATCAGCAGCCTCGGTGAAGTTTCCTGAATGAAGGGACTGTAGGGAACCTACGAACTTCACTAACAAATTAAAAGACAGCAAAATAAAAGACTTCACCCGCTAACGTGGAAAGAAATGATCATGTAAATTGTGTTCTTACTTAAAAGACATATTTTGTGCCATGCCAGTCATTGCACTGGGAATTGATATACTATTTTTTATTTTTTTATCCTGGCAGCGCTTAGTAGTTCATATAAAAAGTGGTGAATATGGTACACATTATTATTATTATTATTATTATTATTATTATTATTAATAATAATATTAATATCATTTATTTATTTATTTATTTATTTATTTATTTAGGTCAACCTAAAATCAAAATGTACCTTGTTAGTTAATATCTGATAACATTTAACATTCTTCGTATCATTTAAAAGACAAATATCCACTTTTCCTGTTATCTTCCATTAAAATGTAATGGCTTTTGCCCTGTAAAACATCTTCTGAATTTTGATTACATCATCGTGCACCAGTGGGCAGGTAAAAATATCATCAAATCATCCCCACCTATCAAATGAAACATCATGGATACTGCAGTTCTCTTAGAAATATGGCAGAAGGAGAACACATCATGATTTCCCATTCACACTGACTTTAAAACATATTTGCATCACATAAGTCTCTTACACGAAACTGTTCTGGTGGTTTTGCCAGAGCTCATTCCCAAAAGATTATTCTTTGGCATTAAGGCCAAGTCATCATGTGTGATCTGTTATCAAGCTGAAGTAATTTACATAGTTATGATCTCTGACGGTGTAGAATTTGAAATAACTCATGCAAGGGATGTAACAGGACATATAATGTCACAATTCAATTCAATCTTCAGTATTTCATGTGTTTTAAATTAAATAATACATAGACTGCTGTGGCTTAGATAAGGAGCTCTCATTCAGAACCCAGAATTTAGGAACTTCAGATTATTTGAGCATGAATGCAAATAGCATAAACTCACCTACTTCAATCTGATTAGATGCACCTAGATGACTAGTGATGATCATTGACAGCGGTTACAACAAAAGACCTTTGGAAGAATTCAAACTTTTTTACTGTATTGAAATTGCTACACTCTTAATACATGCTGATATTTTGTTTCACCGACTGCCCACTTCATTAAGTACGCCTACGTTGTATCTACACTCACTGTCCATTTATCATCTTTATTGACCATATAGGTTCCCTTTGTAGTTCTACAGTTACAGACTGTAGTCCATCTGTTTCTCTGCATGCTTTGTTAGCCCCCTTTTACCCTGTTCTCCAATGGTCAGGACCCCCACAGGACCACCACAGAGCAGGTATTATTATGGATGTGGATTTTTCTTAGCACTGCAGTGACACTGACGTGGTGGTGGCATGCTGCTGGAGTGTTTAAATACTGTGTCCACTCACTGTTCACTCTATTGTTCACTCTGTTGGATAGTCAGTCTATAATAGCACAAACAACAAACACACTCACTAAACCTACAAACAACAGCAACAATAACAGCCACAAATGTCCTTTTCAGTGAGTTTGCATACCACGCCTCTAAAGCCTCTTCTTGAAATGCTGAGCACGTAGCTGATGGCAAAGTATAAAGATCTTAAGTCACTGGAGTGAATTAGAATTCACCCACCTATGTTTTTACTATATCTTTACAAAGGCAAAGGGAACAAGGAATGATCAAAAGCACAAAATGCTGTTAAAGGGCTTAAATGTGTCATGAAAATTAGCTTAAAGATCACTTATCCACAACAAAATTGTAATCTACTTATCTTGACCTCTTCTCCCACTGAGAGGCTAATGGGATGTCGGATTCATCTGAAAACACAGAGAGCATGGACAGCATTCGCTCTGGCTCCTGAATGAAATGTTCAGGGATGTTGTCTCCGTTCTTTTTCAACATTTCTGCATAATTCAGTGGTTGAGATGTAAACAAAGTCATTCAGAGTGATCTGATGTGAAGTTATGCATTGTAGATAAACTAACAGATTATTAACTAACAAATATTATATATATATATATATATATATATATATATATATATCATATATATATATATATATATATATATATATATATATATATATATATATATATATATGTATATGAAGCTATTAAATGCTATTATTATAATATATCTAAATTAGCTATTTAGATGTCTGGTTCCTATCAAAACCACTGTGAACAATTTTGCCTTGATACAATAGAGAACAACGGAGAACAATCTTAACAGTTTAATCATGGGAAAAATTTTTAAAATTCATTGTAAGGTTCTCTTTATGGAACCAAAAGTGTTTATACTACAGTTTTGCTTGAAATAAACGCTTTTGCCACCTTTAATGTAAGTGTTGCACGTGAATGAGGAAAAACTGTAAAAAGCATAGAAGTTTTTGTGGAGGAATGAAGAACATCATGGACCAACACTAGCCTACACAATTAACCCAAAAATATGCTTTACTTCATGGCATCTAGCAACTCTATCAATCAGTACCTCCACAGATGACAGCTTATGTGGAGCTCTGTCTCTTCCCATGATGAATGCTCCAGTGGATTACATAATTATATTATACCATTAACTGCTATCAAAACCACTGCAGCATGCAATTGATATGCACTCTGAAACAAGTGCCTGTGTCCCCTTCATGCTTAATCACGCTTTGAGGGTCCTGGCAGGACCACAGACGGCTTTCTTGGCACTTGTGAGAATACATACGGCTCAGTCAGCTGCTGTCTGGGTCTCTTTGGAAGCTGCTCTTTCAGTGTGTATGGCAGTGTGCCTGAGTGCGTAGGCCTAACTTCTTAGCATCACACTCACGTGCTGGATCCAACGCCTCTGTATAAGAGCAAATCCAATGTTCTTGCATTAGGGAAGTTCATAGAGGGGCTCAATGTCACTGCTGTACAGAGAGAGAGCAACATGGAGAAATACAGTCTTAAAAATAAAAGTGCCTGAACAGTTATTGGACTTTTGTGGATGTTTTTCAAAGAGGAAGTCCATCAATCTTTCAAAATGTCTGCATAATTAAATCAGTAAGATGTAATTCCAACTCATTCAGAGCTGGCTGGACTGGTATGACTTGAAATGCTGCATTCTAGAAAAACTTGCCAAGTCAGAAATATTCACAGTGGTGGTGACAGGAACCAGACGTCTGAAGAGTTTAAAGTCTGGAAAAGCTACATCACAGAAAACTACTATATGAAATGCTTACAATATGCTGCCTGACAGCCGAGACACTGTTTTACGAAAGTTGAGATAAAGTTGGACAAAACTTAATCCGTTCATGGTGAAGAGGTACATACAGGACGCTATAAGGCAAAGAAAGCCAAAAGAAAACGTATTTTTTCACATTTACCACTATTATAACATTAGCAACTTCACTTTTAAAACACATAAGACGTGTAGATTTTAGATTCACTGGTCATTTTGGACTGTAAATAAAATAATAAGCTATATTTACCTAGTACACATTGACACTTGTGGTTGTAAAGAAATCTGATTCAGTTTTCCTACATACCACACTCGCACACTTCATTGACAAAAGTGGATTCTTTAAAGAATATAAATATATATATATAAATTCAGTGTGAAATGTGTTTATGTATATGTAAACACATTTTAACTCATTTTTAAGACTTTGGACTAAAATCCTTTTCTTTCAAATGACCCTATACCTTAACTACGTTTATTTTATGAACATAAATGACTGAACATTCCAATTTGTCACTACCAAAACAATCATAACACTACTGAAACTTTATCCAATGTTTTCGTAGTGACTGTTTCAGTAGTGACAAATTTAGTTCATTTTGAGCAGAACTCAGCTTTGAACAGCTGGACACAAATAAAATCATAATATTTTTTATTAAAACATAAAAAAGTTTACTTAATTGCAAAAAAAAAACCTGTGTTTGAGCAGTGATCATTTTTAAGGTTACACATTGATTTTCAGACTTTGGGATACATTTACTTCGAAACAATGGATTTAACTGCTCACCATGCGGCTGTTTTCAGTTTCTACCAGCTATTAAAATGATGCTATGAAAAAAGTATTATTTGAAATTTTAGGGATTAAGGTTTGGACAGCAAACTCCCAATAGAAAGTATCCTAGTATCCTATCATTATGTATATATATATGTCGCCTTCTAGCATCTAGGCCTCTAGAGATTCCTGTGAACTACTATATTATAATATAGTTCACTTTTACTTCATAGAATGGTAATCCAATGATGCTCGGTGCTATTATTGGTGCTGTTATTTTCTGTTTTGACATTTATAATCCAAACTGAAGATGTAGCTCTATTACCTGTTAAAATATGTTATCACTAATTAATGGGGAAGGGCAATATATATATATATATATACATACAGAGAGAAATATAGAGGGCACTGTAATATACAGAACGATGAATGGAGCGGATGATTGTGTTTGTTTGTTATATGATTATAGCAAAAGATTATATTAAATCCGCCACATGCAGAGGAAAATAACTGTTTGAAATAATTCATATTATAAAATAGGTTTGCTGTGTGCAGAGTTTCAGGATTGGCTCTAAAGCAGGTTCCCACCTGCAGTCCACCATCTGCTGCGTCTTAAATATGACTGAGCCTGGTTTCTCCTCCTGCCAGAGGTGTGATTAGACAGCTAATGTCATTACGTGCATCTGCTGAGTGGCTCCTACTCATTTCTACTCAAAGCTTCCACACTGTAAACTGCATTTCCTGCAGACTGCCCTCTGTGAGAGTGTGTGTTTGTATGTGCACGAAGACCCCATTGATAGCTCCTGCTGGAACAACACTATGCTGTTATACTACACAACACAGGTAAGCCTAGTCACACTGCTGGGTCGCATTATGTAACCGGATTAAAATAATGCTTTTGCTTAGTTACTAAAAGGTAGGATATGATTTGCTTAGCTATGAAATGATATTGCGTGACTGTGTGTGTGGTAATCCGCTAGGCAAATTAAATGACCCTATCTGTCAGTCATGGCCTCATAGACATAATACAGGTCTCTGTATGACTGTGTGTTTCCTTGATTAAAGAGTTTTTAGCTTATACCCTTTGTCCACTTGCTGTAATTTCCAATTAAATGTGTGCATACCACAAAAATACCAGTAGGTCATTAACAGTAGGCAAAACACTAGGCAAAAGTCAGAGACCACCCTTCAGTATTTAGTGTGTCCACTTTTAGGCTTTAATTACAGCTTCCATTCTTTTAATGAGACTTGTTTTCAGTTTTTAAAAGAAATCTGGATATTTCTCCACACCTGCAAAGCTCAGTCTTAGAAATTGGCTGCTTCTCACCATCCAAGTAATCCTAAACATGTTCAATGACGTTGAGGTCTGGACTCTGGTGTGGTCAGTCCAGTGTCAAGCATCACTAGTAGCTTGATTGATTTACCACATTTTTTCAATAACAGCTTCTTGACAGCTACACATCCTTTCAGACCCATAGTGTTGAGCTGTCTTTTCACAGTAATGTTTATCTGATGGTGACAGTTTTGGTGATCTACCAGGTCTTGTACGGTTGTTAGGAGTCCCATTTTCTCTGTAGCTGTTGATCATTATTGGAATTATTGTTTTTTTCACTTATTTTTCACTTATTTTCCCCTTCCTTATGCAAGTGGACCATCTTATGTCTGTTCTCCTCAGAAACATCTAAAAGATTGTTTTGACTTAAAATAAAATAAATAAATGGTGGTCTCTGACTTTTGCATATTTTGGCAAATTTGTCTGAAATGATTTAAAGAAAATACTCTGTGTTAAACGTATATGAGCAGACACACTGAGACGAGCCCATATTAGGTCATATTATAGATCTAGGTTTTAGCTTTATGTGTGTTAAAGCAGATTTTGCCTTTTTGCCCATTGGTTTAGTTTACAGGTCCTTTCCAAATTGCATCTTAAATATCGGCTTTGAGAAAGATTACTCATTTGCTGAGTAAAGTGGGTCAAAGACATGTACGCTCAGTTCTGTGCTCATTTCTAAGGGCTTTGTTAACGTTTTCAGGAACCTTGTCCATGTCTTTTTTCCACAAACTTCAGCTTCCAATCAACATCCTTCTTCGGCATATGCAGTCATTACTCTTGACTTTGTTCTCGACATGTGTGTTGCATCTGTGACTGACCCACCTGCAATTCAAGTCACACTTACTGCACTTACATACTGGTAGGGGTGGGCAATATGATGATATGTTATAGTTATCGTGATAAATTACGAACACTGAACAACCATGAATCATGAAAACAGCAGATTTACAGCAATTACGGAGAGTCTGTAAACAACAACAACCGGTGTAACGTAACTGCATAGTAACAAGTAGCTGATTGGATGTCAGCCCATTATGATATCCTCTAATTTTATTAATTTATCTTAAATAACAGTTTGATTTTTCCTTCCTAGAATGAAGATCAATGTAGTGAAATATTTCACAGCCTTTTTCAAACGTGTCTCTACTGTTTTGTTGGTGTATTCTGTTTTTTTTTTATTTGTTTGCAAACCTCAAAAAACTAAATATGATAAGTAGTAAGTATCATATATTGGGAAAGTGTTTTCCAGTATTGTGATGATATATTTTGACCATATCGTCCACCCCTACATACAGGTCATTTCATTACATACTGGCAATTAAAATCATCTTAATACTACGCTAAGCAAATTTAAACATATTTGTGATTCCTATTCATATTGACTGCATATTATACACTATTTAAACTCTTCCACTTTCCTATAAGCTTGACTAAGTGTAAAATTGCTTTAGTAAAGAAGGGAAAAAGGCCAAACAGCCTGAACACTCCCCACCCCCGTACCCACACCAGGTGGTCCACATTTTTAATCGAACCCAATTTGCAACACATAGGAATGAAGGAAAAATGTGGACCATCTGAGGGGCCCTGAGAACCAGGCTGGGAAGTGCAGACCTAAAGCATTAACAGACAATTTGTACAGCCATGAAGATTTAGCGTACAACATAAGTACAATAAAACTAAATTCGCCTTTCTGCTTCTTCTGACCCTACCTCAAGGTGATTTCACCGAGCATGGTACACAGAAATCCCACAGCAGGTATTATTTTAAAGTCGTCGTCATTTTCATGATCATCTATAACCAATAATATTACAAAAACTAGACAATCTCAGTGTAACATTATAAACAAAGACTTTCTTTCTGCGTGTTAGAAAACTCCAATTCAGAGATTGTAACACATCAGCAAATGACGGAAAGCCAAGATGATCTCATTCGGCCCAAGAAACCATCTCACCCCATGCTGGAGTCCCCCAGCCACAGAGGCCTGCACCGAGAACTCCTCGTCAGCCATAGATGGTGAGTTAATCCACGTATTTTTCCCTGTCTTTTTTCTGCTCAAAAATGAAGCGTGGTCTTAGACGATAATACACAGTCAGTGTCAGTGAGGATTAAAAGTGTCTGGAACATTGCAGCTTATTCAGCTTTGGGAACGCTGGCTGTTTGATATTTGTCCAATATCTTTCCGGAACCTCATTAAACTGTCTTTGTTTTAGCACCAGTGAATGCAGAGCACGAGACATACAGATTAAAAGCTGATATTACTATAGCAAAGTGTGATCATTAGCCATGCTCCATACCATGTATTCAAAGGTGGGTGATATGACTATATGTTAGGCTATTGTTATCATGATATATGATCCCACAATATGCCTTTCTGAGTACATCATGGGTATTTAGACAACACTGACCTGCATATAGTATAGAGAAATACAGATTTATTGTGCTATAGAGAGCCTGTAAGAGAGGGTTTGAACTGAGGGGGGCCTGGGGGATTCCTGAATACTCCATAAGAGTAAGGTGACCCCCCATAAGAAATACTTGAACTTGTTAATATTAGAGTTTTCCCATTGAATAACATGCTTTTGCACAATGACCAATAAATGACCAGACTGTGAAACATTTGTCAGGCAAACTAAACCATAATCTGGTTGCATTTCTTAGGGGATTCGTCAAACCTGCCTGTTGAAAAAAAGGCTAAATCAATAAAACAATCTGTAAGTAAGCTACAGGGGTAAACCTCACAGAAAATATTGTGAAAAATGGTATCCATCAATATATAGATGATATACCAATACATATACAAAACAACACATAAACAACAACCACTGCATAACAGCTGTTTAAAATGACACCATCTTGTTCTATCAATGTATTTTTACTAATTGTTTTAATTTTTTTCCTTCTTAACTACTTTCATTCTTGGAAAAATGTTGATTTGAAAAATATCATACTGATAGTTTTCATAGCCTTGTTCAAATATGGCGCTACTCTTTTGCTGGTGCATTTTGCAACCTGTTTGCAAACCTCAAAAAAAAAAACAACTCACATACAGTGTAATATCATTAATCCTTTTTGTATGTAATAACGTATCCACTGTAGACTGAGCTGTTTTAAACTAGACAACAGAAGATATTTCAGATGATTTATTCTATAATTTATTTCATGGGAACAATGAGTTATTAAATAATAATAAGCAATATGCTGCAATTAGCTATTATAGTAATTTGTATAGAAACTGCTTTGCTCACCAAATCCTGTATTTGAAATACAGGGACATTTTGGATATTCAACTCATTATAACATCATTCTCAGTATCATAGAACCATATTCAGCTTTGTTCATCATTCTGGACACACTGAAAATTGATTTATTTGAACAGCTTCCTACTAATTATTGCATAGGACTAGCATATTTGAATCATTTTTACACAAGTTTGTTTTGATCCGAGTAAAAATGGTGATTCTACACTTTTGAATGCCAGTGATATCATGATACCTAATGTGAAAAGGTCTTTATGTATCGTGAAGATATATTTCTTGCATAGTTAGTAGCATGCAAAGGTTTTGGTGCCCCTGGTCAATGACGTTTTGCTGATTCTCTAAGTGAAAGTAAGTACACATCCTCTACAGAGAACATACTTCTGCACATTTTAATTTAATATAGTGGGAAAAATAGAACATAAATTTGTGGCCTGTGCAAAAGTTATGTTAGTTATATATAAAATGTTTCTTTTTTTTTGGTTAAACTCAAAGAAAGAAAGCAAATAAATAGAAATTGTGCACAAAAATTTGCAGGAAAATGCCATATTTGAGTTTGTACCCTACAGAGGACGCATTAACATATTTTCACTTAGAAAATAAACAAAACCTTTTGCACACCATTGTATGTAGCCAATGAAAAAAGACAGCTCCTTCTGACAGCTCGTGCATTTATGTACTACATTCATTCAACAAGCTTTACTGACCATTCAGGCCAGTCTTCTGAGGTTTTAACTAAACTGAAATATTCCTCAAACTAATGACAAAGCAGTATGACCAAGCCAGTGTTTTGTTTACCTGTGGGTGAGTTCAGAACGTAGCCTGAGCTGGTGGTCTGAGGGGTCAATCCCAGGGATCAGGGAGAGCCTCTTACCCGGGGCATGACCTCTTTGCACTGGGCCAAAGCAAATCATAGCTTTTCTGAGCTGCTTTGGATGAGGATAAATGGGGCAATGAGCCTACGTTCAGCACTCGCTGACCCTGAGAGAAAACAAAAGCAACCGGCAAATCCTTCAGCAAGGTTTCAGATTGGTTGAAAGGGTAAGAACTACTGTGCATCTTAATTTTTATTCTGTATTATTTCTAGTAGATCATTTAGTCCTATATTCAGTCAAACCACAAAGGCGTTTAACTACAAATAAAAGCCCTAAATTGAAGGCAAAAAATATTCCCACAGAACCGCGTCACAGTCATTTACTACACAGTCATTATCACATATACTTTAACTCTAAATGTAAAATATAGCTGCCAGTGGGCAAGTTAGGGCACACATATGAAGAGGTGTGATATTATGTGTCACATCACCCAGATTAATAGAGTGATATCCTAGATGTTGAAACAGCAGTAGCTACTTATAATAGCATGTTAGGTCCAACCTTAGACCAAATTCTCTTCTAAAACTTTCAATAATTTCATTGCATTTCAGGAAAATACCAGGAGTAACAGTTTATACTAGTACAAATAATAAATAGTGATTTTGCTCTGATATTTCCAAGAGAACATCAATATTGCTTTTATAACAACCGACCAGCCATCAGACTCTGAGTGCCTTTTGGGTTAACAATGCAAAAAGTGTGAATGAGCTTCCAACTGGCTTCCTCCCTGATGGGTTTGCAGGGGTTTGCTGCCCGGTGAGAAGTCCGAGCTGCAGAGAGTGATGGAGCAGAGGAGGCTGGAGCAGCACAGAGAGAGGGAGCAGGCCCTGCGACCCCTCACTGACCTCGAGCAGGAGCTGCGCAAGAGACGGCAAAGACTGCTGGCGGTACGATGGCCTCACACCACTGAACCTACACCTTCAATTACTGCCCCGAAAACAGTCAGAACTACCAATCAACAACAGCAGGCTACAGTTAACATAATGGATGACTGTCAGTTGCTAATAAAGCTATTGATCAAGTGTTCAATGCATTGAAAACTAGGGTCTGTTTTGATTGTTGAATTTCTTTTTCATTCACTATGTATACATTTGCAACAAGGCAGCTAATAACTGCAAAAGGCAATCAGTATTCATAGAGAACTGTAGACAACTGCACAGAAGAATAATAAGACTAATCGACAGTCCACCTTTTTGCTTCATTCTGGTTCTGAGTAGAGACCAACCGATATACTGGTCAATACTGATGACCTGTGACCCCATCGGTATTGGTACCAATAAATGCCGGAACCAAAACTGAAAATAATTCTGGGTAGCCCCTCCCCTAATGCTATAATATTTATATTATTTAAGACTTTCTGCTGTTTCAGGTTAAGAAACTGTGTCCACAGATATGACAAAAGTCATATTTCACAATTCTCCCTTGACAGTTTAACTGACAATCATATTAGTCTAAACCAGGGGTTATCAACCTTTTCCAACTCAAGGCCCATATGTTTGTCACTAGTAGGCACAAATGCCCACAAAAAAAGAGAACTCAGCTTTTTTATTTAAAAACTTCATTTTTGGGAAATCTTTAGCACAGTGTATCCACTCCTGCAATATGTAGAATATGTAGCCTTCGTCAGAGAACAGAAAATATCAACAGAACGGAAGCAAATTTAGCAGAATTTTACTACAACAGTTTCTTTTTGTAGTGTTGCTGGTAGATAGCAGAAATACTGGGGGGAGAATATTTGTTTTTTAGAATCAAAAGGCAAAAAATTGGCAAATTTTTTGTGCTGTTTTTTTGCTGGTCTTGTATTAATGTTGTTTACTATTTGGAAACATTTTATACTTCTTTTTTATTATTAAGTCAATTCTTTTTTACTTTTATGGCAAACTGCCAACACGGGCTAAGTATGGACCACTGGCACCCCCTCAGAATTGGCCTGAGGACCACCAAAGGGTGTTTCAAGGCCCACTTGAGGGCCACAGCCCAGTGGTTGAGAAACCCTGGTCTAAGCCAGGGGTGCTTATTCTTGGTCCTGGAGATCTACTTACAGAGTTTAGCTCCACCCTAAATCTAACACACCTGATCCAGGTAATGAAGGCCTTCAGGTCCATCTGAATATTAAAGCCAAGAGGGAACTTTCCAGGGTGGTAGATCTCCAAAACCAGGACCAGGATCGTCATCATAAGTTTAACTAAAACCAATATATAAAATTCATATTTAAATTGTAAGTATACAATTATATCAGATCTTGGTTATCAGAATTTTTAGCCCATTAAAATCTGTATCAGTCGAGCCCTCATTCTGAATCAGATAATCGACGTTCAAAATGTGAGTCAGGTGTGTTTAACGATAGGCCTGCATGGAATGGTGCTAGTAAGAGTATTACAATTGTATTGGGATTGCAATATTTGCAATATATTAAACTGCATTGGTGAACTAGTGATATGACCAGTTTACTTCAGGATTACAAGAATACCTTGATCTGATATCAGTACTGCAAAGGCCAATATCACGATACCAACAAATGACATGGAGTTTCATTCCAAAATGCATGACATTTTTATTCATGATATACGTTGTTGGTATTGAGCTTAACACACACAAGAAATAGCAATGCCATCATTAATGTCACCTTTATTACATAAATAAAAGTGAGTTTTCTATTTTACATCAGCTTGTATTCTTTTCCAAACTACATATCCAAACTGTTGTAAATGTAGGCCTATATTCAGCATTTTGGAATTAAACTCTTTACATATTGTGCAGCTCTATTTGGAAAAAGAATAAAAACAAATATAGGAACTTGCCAGCACTCTCATCAGCAATGTCTACACATGAGCGCAGTACACAAATGAAAAAACATGCTAATTTTCCTCCTTGTGCAGTCTTCAGCTGTGGTCTAATGTGAGATCTTGTTCTGTCCTCAGTATGAACTGGAGGAGCAGAAGAGGCGAGAGGATCTAAAGAACATGCCAGAATTTGTGCGTGTGAGGGACAACCTGAGACATGTCAGAGTGTTGGGCAACTAGTAGGACCTCAGAGCAAGCAAAGCCCATCATCATTCCTTTTGTACGTTATTTGCAATTGTTTTGGCTTTTTAATAAAGTTCAGTGAACAAAAGTATAATGGCTTGTTATCATAATTACAGCAATCCAACCATCAGAGTAAAGAGTCAGAAGACACTGACTGAATAAACATAGACTTAGCATAAATATTTATGATATTGTCATATTAGTTTTCTTCACTGGGTTTATTTGTACAGTGCTTTTATGTATGATAATGTGTTCACGTAACCATTTCCAAAACTCTCCTTGTGACAGCCTAAAATTATTTGTATTGTCATCTGATAACCAATTTGACTCATCAATGCTTTGTTAAATTAAATCAGCAGTGCTGCTGGTGGATTTGAACAAATCCATTCGATGCCTGGAGTGAACCGACAAGTCCAGCACTAAACCTGTGTTCTACTTTACAGGAAATTCTTTTTACTTTTAAAACTTTTTACTGCATCAATGTTTGTTTGTATTTATTCTACTATTATATGTTGTTTTTTTTTACATGCAAAAACACACTGACTACTGAGAACAATCCTATATATGGCATTTTACTGCACATTTTAATGCATAAATTCGATAAAATGTGCCATAAGTTTTGCACACATAACCCAATTTGTTAACTTCAGCAAATAAACTGTAATTGTGCTTTAAATTGTATAGAAGTGTGTTTAGTGTGAGGATGTGTACTTGTTAAAAAACATTTTTTATATTACTGTATATTAAAATAAAGTAAAAGAAGACAATCAGCTGCATCATGTAGCAAAAAAAAAAACATTTAATAAATCGACAGATCTACTGCTCAGTAGTAACATCTGAAGGTTGTTGTGAGGGCACGCTGGCATAAAGCATTTACATTGAACAGCTAATTCTTCCAACACTCAAAAAAGAGAGCGACTCTCCATTTGCCAGGTTTAGCAGCTTTGACTAATTCAATTAATACACATGATACTGCCTGCTTATTTTTATGGAGCTTGCTTGCTTGTTTACAAGTTTAATCTTACTGGTTCCAAGAGAAATCAGCAAAGAATTTGTTGTCAAAACAGACAACATCTGGTTGGACATTCAGTGATGAGCAAGGTGGAGGGAAAAGCGTGTACAGAAGTCGAATAATTTCTCTCATAGGCCTTTTATAACACAGCCTTGTAGAATAAGTCAGAAATAGGCAAAGACAAGGAGTTTTGCACATCCAGAGTAAGCAACTAGCTCAGTCATAGCTGGGTTTAGAAAAAGAAAACATTTCACATCTCCAACACGGAATGTAAACTTAGAAAACGCCCCCCGAAAAAGGTCCATATAAATTGCTGGTTGGTCAAGCACAGACAACACTGATAGATTGATAAATAAATAAATAAATAAATAGCGACAAACATCATGAGGAAGTCAAGGGATGCCGTCTTTGCGCTGGCAGCACTGCGAGGGCGGCACGCTCCAGTCGTAAATGTACGAGAGGCGGAGTTTCACCTCCTCCTTGCACAGGTGTCCGTCCCTCTGCAGAGTCTGGTGTTTCTCCAGCATGTCCTCCAAGCTCTGCTTGTGCGTGACCAGATATTTATTACTGCAGCCCCTCGACTTGTATTCAGTATCAAACCGAGGGTCGTGCAGGCGCTTCACGTCAACGGGGGCCAGCCAGGCACCCAGAGAAACGTCCTCGCTCTGCCACGTCTTCAAGAAAGCAGCATTGAGGTGAACGTAGTGCACCAGGTCCGCGGAAAGCACATAGCCGCCACCCAAGGCATACGGTATATAATAGTCACATAACTCCCAGGCGCTTTCCTTCCATTTACCGGCCGCTTTGACGCGGCCACGGCCTGAGAAGAAGCCCCAGTAGAGGCGGCTGGGCTCCTTGGCCTTTAGCTCCTCTTTGAGAAGGTCCAGGCGAGCAAAGGTGTCGTCGTCCGCCTTCAGAACGAACTTGAAGTCCACCTTCCGGTCCAGCCAAGAATACATGTGGATGAGCTTGCGCGTCAGGTTCTCGTAAGAGTCACGGAGGTCCGGGAGCAGCAGGAGGTCGTGGTGCCGCAGTTGCTCCGTGCTCAAGTTCTGGATGTCCTCCGGCGGCAGGCCCTCAGTGCCGATTACAAATAATGCGAGAACATCTGGGTCTGCTTTGGCCAACCAGGTGTTGCGGATGATGCTGCGCCGCTCTGTGTACTTGGGCCCTGTGGTGATGAGGACCACCAAGAACGCAGAAAGCTCTTTGGCATGCGAAGAAGCCGGTGGACGCTCGTGTCGTGCTTCCGCCCGTGGCGCCATGCCTGGAGAGTCGGCCGGCTTCAGTGTCTCCGAGGTGCATTTGGCGAGGAAGAGGAGGACCATAGCAAAGAAACAGAGGACGCCGAGCGCCAGAGCCGTCTTGTGGCGGCACACGAGGCGGACAAGATTCATGATGTCACAGCTGGGAGAAAGCAGATGAAATATATAACATTAATTGAACTCAGAACTATTAGCCACCTGTGCTTGCACACAGAGGAATTAGACCTCCGCATGTAACCCCTCCGTGCCAGCGAAACACCCACATACATGCACACTAGTAGACACACACTAGGAGGCAGTGAGCACACTTGCCTGGAGCGGTGGGCAGCCCTATCCACGGCGCCCGGGGAGCAGTTAGGGGTTAGGTGCCTTGCTCAAGGGCACTTCAGTCACGTACTGTTGATCAAACCGGCGACCTACCGGTCACAGGGCTGGTTCTCTAACCTCCAGCCCACGACTGCCCCATTACTGTAGCCAAGTATAAACAGCCAGTGTCCAGAATAGTCTGGTGATTTCTTTGCTCAGACACGTTTTAAACCTGCCAATTAATAGATGAGTTGAATTAGGTGTATCTGAGCAAAGAACTGTGCTGGACACCGGCCCTCCAGGATCAGAACCGAACCCCCCTGGTGTATGGCATGTACGGACAGTATACACACACACACACACACACACACACATTTTCTAAGCTGCTTATCCTTCTGGGTAGCCAGGGGAGCTGGAGCTTATCCCAGCGGTCATTGGGTGGAAGGTAGGAAAGACCCTGGACAGGTTGGACAGTATACAGAATGATTTAATCTGCTCACTCAATGGCAAAGAGCTTGTTTTGAACAATAGGCCAAAATGAAAAGAATCAAAGGGAAAGAAATCTCATTTTTATCCTATTGCATTCGTTCCCCATTGCTTTTTTCAAGTGTAATTTCATTCATTCATGCTCTGCTGTTGCTCACACCTGCCCCTTTTAAGTTTCGGGCTTTTTATTTTAGACCAAAAGGCTCCAAAAAAGAGGAGAGCAATGCCTAACATCCTCCAGTTTCTATGATAATGGATGATGGAAGTACTGGCGTTGTTTTTTTTATTATTCTTTATACATTTTACTTTACTATTTATGTGTTATAACTAGTTCAATTATTATACTGTGATCTCTACACAAAAGCTCTTCATGTTACAGAACTAACCTAGCAGACCGACAGAACTAAAACAGGTCAGTTTGCAGAGGCACACTTGCAGCGACATTAATTCTGGTATCCTACAAAATGAAACCATATCATGAATTCGATACTCTGTACTTTGCAAACTGTTAGACATTTAGGTTCGTTAGTGCTGCTGCTTTTATACTAACCCACTGTAAACGTTAACTAGCAAACTGAGCCACATGGCTGCCTGTAAAGGAGTGAAATGGGAAAAGTATTGATGCAGTGTTTGTTTTACCTGGTTGACAGTCGCTGCAGTGATTGCTGAAGGCGTTTATGATTTCCTCTCCTGCATTGTTAGCTTCTCTGGCTACACAGCCAGCTAGCTCGGTGGGGCTAAAGGGAAATACTACCGTTAGACGTGCACAACAAAATGGGCAATGCGCCCATTAGACACATAAAACAGCGACTTTTAACAGCCCGACAAGGCCAGAAATATAGCTGTAAAAATCGTACGACTTTTTGACGTCGTCATTGTTTCTTCCACAAGACAGACAGTGTACTCTGACAGCAGCGCGAGGTTAGTGATGACGCAGGCAGTGAGCTGGAACAGCGGCGAACAAAGCGCCTCCTAGCGGAGCGCAAAGCCACACCAGAACTCTGCCAGCCTTCATCTGGATAGAGCGTTCATTTAAAGGGGAATGATTCAGATGTAAACAAAATCATTAAGAGTAGTTTCGTTCTAAAGAAGCTTACAGAGCCAGAATTGTTGTGGTTGTAAAAGCTCCCTCACAGAAAGTTATTACTTGTAAATACATTGCTCGGTGACTGAGACCTTGTTTTATGGTAGTTTTGTGATAACGTTTTGGCCTAAAACATATTTTAATCAATGTATTTTATCCCACTTATGGTGGAGGGGTACGTGCAGGGTGTTCTAAGGCACAATAGTCCCCAAAGAAAAACATTTTTTTCAAATTGACTATTATTTTACCATCATCAACATTACATATAAAAACTCGGATGATGTGTAGGTTCACTGGTGGATTTGGATAGTAAATAAAATGGCTATATTTGTGGTGTAGACATTGTATACCCCTGGTTCCTATCACCACCACTGTGAATAAATCTGAGTCTGTAAGTTTCTCTGCAATGAACCGCTTTACATCAAATCACTCTGAATGACTTTGTTTACATTGTAACAGTGGGATTATGCACAAAGTTTGAAAAATTAGTGGACTTGCCCTCTAATATCAACTGGTAGAACTGGAGTGTTCAGTGTGATGCTTGCTCTACCATTTAAGGATCATCTTTGTGCTAAGATGCTTTCATGAAACCCCACCATAAATAGCCATCAAATAAGATTAAAAGGAAATTCCACTGATTTTTCAAAATTTCCACTTAATTCAGTAGTTAAGAGTCATTCAGTGTCCTGATGTACAGTGGTTTATTGTAAGAACCAGGTGTTGTAATGTATTAGTCACAAATATAGTGAAGCTATGTGTGCCTTCTTTTTTATAAGTAACTTTAATGGTAAAATAATGGTACTATTTTGCCTTACAATGACTTGTGTTAATGTCTCTGCCATGAATATATTTAAAAATTAAGTTTTCTAATGTAACAACTTTCTGTGAGGTAGCTTTTAGGCGTATTAAAGTCTCCAGACATGCGATTCCTATCACCACCACTGTTCTGACTCGGTACATTTTACTGGTGCATTTCACATCAAACCAGTCTGACTTTGTTTACATCATAACCATTCAATTATGCAGAAATTATGAAAAATCTGTGGTTTTTCCCTTTAACACCAACCAAAAAATTGAGTGGTGTTATATGCTGCATAAGAAAAAGGCATTTATTACATTTAAAGAGGAATTCCACTGATTTTTCAAAATATATGCGTAATTCAATCATTGAGATGAACATCTCAATGAATGAGTTACGCAGAAAATTTGAAAAATCGGTGGGATACCCCTTTAATTCTTTTTATTTCCCTTTGCTACATCAGTCTTTTATGATGTCATCTTCAAGTCTTTAAGATAGAACAAAGACTAGTGTGATTAGGACGGTATAAAGTTGACTGAGAACTGGTTGCTAGGAGACCATTATTACATCTACTACAGTAAAATGATGGCATTCGAAAAACAGAGCTGGTGATTTTCAGCTGGTAGATTTTTAGCACTAGGCCAGCGCATCAAGTAATGGATGATAAAAAGGCTGCTGAGCACCTGTCTGATTACTTTAAAAGCCGCTTCGCAGACAAACTTAAAAGCCATGTATTGTAAGAGGATTTAGAAATAAAAATGTACTCTAAGTTTAAGTAATTTGATCTTTTGAAGTGTTTATGGTTTGGATTTCATTGTATTTTGTATTTTATTGTATATGGCAGCAATACTGGCCCTCCCCAGGCATTCTCCACCGCTACCCGTCTTATTCAGAGGCGACGAGAAGAGCAGGACATTCACAAGGGCCTGCAAAACCTTAGAAAGGTTCTGTAACGTTACATGACAGTTTACTTTATGAAATTGGAATATGAAGTCTACTTTGAATATGTAAATGACTGTATATGATTACTCTGCTAACATGACTTTTATATAAGCAAATCTGTTCATCTCCAGTGTCAACAAGTAATTTCTCTTACAGGAACTTGATTTGACTCTAAATTCCCAAAAAATCAGGAAAGAGAAGCTGGAACAGAAAGAGATCAAGATCAAGGAGGCTTTGAAAAATTTTGACCAGTATCTCAAGGTATCCTTCATTTTGCCTCAGTTTATAATTACATATGTTGCTCATCTGGGAATATGTTGGTCATCATTTGCATTTTATTTTGGAGACAATTGAGTGGATTCAAGGTTATTTCAGATAGATGACTCTTAAAAGGGAATTCCACCCATTTTTTCAATTTCTGCCTAATTCAATTGTTAAGATGTACAAACCCAATTCTGAAAAAGTTGGGAGTATAAGAAAAAAATTTAAATATATACAGACAGCGGTGATTTGCAAATCCTTTCTGACCTGTGTTCAAAAGACAACAGTACAAAGACATTTAATGTTTAATTAACTTTGTTGTTTATTGTGTATAAACTCATATTTGAATTTTGATGCCTGCAACATATTTGCATTAGTCAATCTCAGATGAGCTTCAGCCCACAGAAGTCGGCAGCATTTCTGTATGTTGTTAATATATTGCTTCCACTTTGCACAGTACAGTCTTAACTTGCATTTGTAGATACAATGACAAACTGTGTTTACTGACAAGGTTTTCTGATGTATTCCCAAGCCCAAGTGGTTATATTCATTACAGAAGCATGTTGGTTTTTAATGCAGTGTCTTCTGAGGGATCAAAGGTCATGGGTATTCAATATTGGTCTTCGACATTGCCCTTTATGCATAGATTGCTCTGTATTCTCTAAATATTTTGATAACGTTATGGATTGTAGATGGTCAAATGCCTTAATTCCTTACAATCATGTGTTGTTCTTAAACTGTAAGACTATTTGCTCACAGTTTTTCTGCAAAGTAGCGAACCTCGACCCATCCTTGCTCATAAACGACTTAGCCTTTCGTGAATGTTCATCCTATAGCCAGTCATGAGAGCACGACCTGTTATCTATTCACCTGTTTACCTGTGGAAAGTTCCAAAAAAGGTGTTTCAGGGCATCAGGGGTCCTCAAAGACCATGACTGCGAACCCTGACCTAAACTTTAAAGCTATTCTCCTATCAATTCTTTTCCAAATTCAGGAGATGAAAGTGAAACAATGCCAAGCTTGGAAGAAGGCAAGGCAGGAGAGAGAACTAACCCTCCAGAAAGCAGAGGAGCTGCAGGCTCTGAAAGAAGAGCTCCAGGAGCTTATCACTGAGAGAGATAGGCTGACCAAGCTAGTGGAAAAGCATCAGATCTACCCCACTTACTTAGCTAGTGTCATAAAGTCCTGCAAGCAGGTGAGGCATATGATTTCATTTCAGGACAGAAATCTCAGATCCGACTTTGGGCTTGAAAAGACAACTTAGTGTCACAGTAACGCTCGAACATAATATTTCTGTTGCTGTTGGGTTGTTCTTTCCCTAAATGTAGCCAGTCAAGACATATTTGCTTTTTTAGTTTTGCACTGGAGCTACAAGGCTAATGGAATTATACTGCCAGCTCAATAAGCGTAGCGCAAACTGCATTCCTGAATCCTCACGTGTTACTGAGCTGTTCTATAATCTCAATCTCAAGCTTTTGTTCTTTCTGACATACTGTGAAAAAATGGACAAACGTAAAACAAAAGCTATAAAAGAATAATATGTAAACAATACAAAATAAAGGAATAGCAAGCCTGAATTTTGTCCACATATTTTTACAGGTGTACAGTATTGTGCAAAAGTCAAAGATCACCCTCATTTATTTAATTTCCAGTCAAAATACCCACAAAAACCCATATCTCTACATCATTTGAACACAGCAGCTGCCCTTTATATTGCATGACAATTTCAAGATGAACAGGAGAATAGAAATGCTCCAAAATTACTGGAAAAACAATCTCTTTACATTAACCTCTATGAAACATCAAAATGATTTTTGCCTTCTCCTGTATAGTTAATAAAGTAAAGTTCAGTCAGTTGGTTGCATTTTCTGCTTCTCACACTCCAAGTAATCTCAGACACAATCAGTGATGTTAAGGGTCTGGACTCGGAGCGGTCAGTGCTTTGTTCTGAAAACACCAGCAGCTTCTTTGTGTGATTTTCTTCGCTTTTGTCTTTTTCCTTGTCTTTTTTTTTGTTCTTGACTGCTACACATCCTTGCAAACCCATAGCATTAAGTTTTTACAGTGGAAAGATGGACAGAAACACATCTAGCTTGGAGCTAGATTTACTTTCAAAGACGAAAATACTGTTTATCCGACAGTGACAGTTTTGGGGCTCCTGCATGGTTGTTGGGAGGCCCATTTTCTCTGTATCTTTTAATCATTTTTCAGCTCCAATTTTAGAAACTCTTGCTTTTTTCACTTTTTCTTTGACCTTGAAATGAATAAGGTACTTAATGGGCGTTTTGACAGGAAATTAAATAAATGAAGGGTGGTTTCTGACTTTTGCACTGTCCTGTATATCATATAGAGTCAGAAACCACGCAAGTCTGTTTAGGTAGGCAGTTTGCACAATGCTAAATGGCAGGCTATAAGCTTCTTGTTAGCTTAGCCTCGTAGCACCAGAGTAAAACTAAATAAGCAAACTGGACACTAAATTACATTTGGGGTTGGGGGAAAAAACTGTATATTGACTTGTCTGTTCTTTTTAATGCCATAGATTGATTAAACATCTGATTAAACATACATTGACATGCTGCATGCTTTGTTCAGTTTCAGGAGCCTTGGCAGCTCATCTCCCGTGTAGACACGCTGATGCAGACAAAGGAGGAGCTGTTAGGGAGCTGCCAGAAGAGCCAGGCCGCTGCCGAGAACATCCGAGCCCAGCTCACCCAGTACATGGAGCAGAACAACGACAAGATCCTGCACTACAACAACACACTGGCCACACTGCAGAGTGAACTGGACACAGCCCGCGCAGAGTCCAACCTCTGGGTTAGTGCTCCACTGCTAGACCTAACCTGCACTGGCTTCCCATAACCAAGAATGACCAGCTAAACCAGCATGAACCAGTTTAGACTGGCATTCCCTGCTGAAAAAGCATTTTGCATTTTTTAAATAATCTCTTTTGTCCATATCATGCTGTAGGACAGTTGCTATAGGCTGTCATTTAGACCAGGGTGGCCAAAAGTGTGGCCCACTGACCAAAGCTGGCCCAGTTTACGCTGACCTACCTGCCTTCTCAGAGTAGAAAGATGGACAGAATTGGACAAAATTGGATTTTTTCAGATCAAAGCAAGAGTGGAGCTTGAGTTTCTCCTCTCTCTCAAAGATAAAAGGACTGTTTATCTGAAGGTGTCAGTTTTAGTGGTCTACCAGGTCATGCACTGTTGTTATGAGTCACATTTCCTCTATGTGTATTTATGATTTTTGAACTTCAGTTTGGGAAAATCCTGATTTTTCATTTTCCCCATTAACTTTCCCCTTCCTTATGCAAGTTATTAATTGTATATCTAATATCCTCAGAAATATCTCCAGAAAAATGACTAACTTGTATACAATGACCATTTGGACTTAAAAGTAAGTTAGGGGTGGTCTCTGACTTTTGCATAGTTAAGTTTCACTGCAGTAGACTTGTTTTGCTCTGGTACACCTAGTTGTAAAATGACCTGCTGTAAATTTTACAACATAAATTTCACATTTGTTGTGCATTATTGCAGAACATGAGATGTAGTCCTGCACCGTAAAACTGCTGTATGTGATTTGTTGAATGTTTGACTGTTTGAGGAATTCCAGATGTAGATTGTAATGTGTGGTGCCATCCGGTTTATATTGTACTTCTACAAGTACCTTAACCTCAGTGTCTCCTCGATACAGGAATCAACATGGGTCCATATACAAAACACTGCAGCCAAGAAGACTTTGTTGCTGGGTACAGTCAAAATGGCAACACTGAACATCTACCAAACCATGTGCAAGAAGGCCAAAGATGAAAAGGAAGCAATAGCTGCTGATGACACTCTGAAGCAACTGGACAAGGTAATGGCACATCTACAGAAAATGAATTATATGTAGATAATCAGTAATACATAAGTGATATAAGGAACTGGTGTTGAAAGTATTCAAACGTAACTTTTTGCCTCTTACAGATCGAGACTTTTTTCCTTAATCTAAATTCGGTATGGGAGGAAATATGCAAAGCAGACAAGGTGTCAAAACCCTGAGTGCATTTAAAAATAAAAATGCCTAAAAATAAAATAAACACTGAATTAAAAAAACCAGAGGACAAACACAAATTGAATTGTGTTGTTTATTGGATGGTATTACAACAGAGGTGTTCAGATGTACTTCTCGTAATTTTGACATTACAAAATGCATACAGTACTTTTGCGGTCGATGAGAAAATGTACTCTTGACTTCAAAAACTGCCAAACATGGAGAGAGAGAAAGAATGTCAAGGCACATCATCTTATTGAGAGCAGAACAAGTAAGACCATGTAGTTAGGCCAGTGTGCTTTTGAGCAAAGGATCTGCAAATGAGGACAAACCAGTGTTTGGTCACCACGTAATGCCGCCTGCCTTTGTTGTAAGCTCGACCTTGCTCATCCTTAGTCTTTCAAGGATACAGGTACGTTAAGCAAAAAGGAAAAAAAAATGCTCAAAAGCTCACCAACACTGAGCCCTGCATTTTGACAGGTCATTTTTTTTTTTGGTGTTAGTTCATTTTGCAAAGCAAGTTCTACTCCTAACAGCATCAAAAGAACCTTAACAGCACATCAATTCAGCAAACAGATCACAGAATGTAATTGTTTTCCAGATGCCTGTCTGAATCCTTAGTTGAGAAGAAAAAAAGGCAAGGGAAATTCTAGTCAGTACATATTTCATTGGCTTTGACATGATCACAGTTCATAAGCTTCTTTTTTTCCAGAGGAATTAATGGACTTCAACAAGATAAAAACAACTCTAGACAAAACCAATAAATTGTTTGAATTCTATCATTTTACGTTCAGCACAACATACTTCCTACAATCCTACCTTGCCTTTGATTTAACTAACACTTAAGTCTTGACTTAAATAGTGGAGCTGCGTGAGCTCCGTACATACTCCTGATCCTTTTTTTTCCTTTTCAGTCACTTCAATACGCATCTTCCAGTAAAAGTAAAAACACGACGGAACATAATTTAAAAGGATAAAAAAGGGGACTAACATAAAGACACAAAACATTAAAACCACTAAAAGGGTCAAAAGTGGATTACAGGGTTAGTGTGGAACTTTTAGTAGTACAGAGAGAACTACAGGGGGTCACGCTGTACCAGGATCCAGCTGTCCCTTTGTGTCAGCTTTTCAATAGTGTTTCGCTATTGCTAAAGAACGTTCAACATTACGTCACCACGTATCTCGTGCTAGGAAAATAAACTTAAGCCTAACAAATAACAGGACTTTTCCAGAGGAAGGATACAAAGTGAGACCAGTAAAATATAATATTTCTAAATATCAACCTTAAAAAAAAAAAAATCTAAAATAGTTCAATTAAATAGGTAATAGCAGTTAATGTCGCAGCAGTTTCAATGGCAAGTCTATGAGGATGTGGTCCTATCTTGGTTACTACGCCTCAGTCAGTTCTCTACTATGTGCCTCATATGTATGGATACTGAGTGACTCTCCTAGGACTGAGCTGATAGCCACCATAGGCTGCACTTCCTCTAGTGCTGCTGGTGTTTGTGCCAACATAAGGGTGGGTGGGGAAATGCTGCTGGTAGTGGGCAGGTAATCCGTGGACCACGCCGCCCACCGAGTCTTTTGGGAGAAGACTGGCTGCATAGTGACTGGTGGGTGGGACATGGATCGAAGGGGAGGAGCCCTGGACGAGCAGCTGCTCCATGGTGTGGGAGGCGGAGGCCAGCGCGGCAGAGGCAGGGTACGTGTACAGGCTAGGGGCGCTGGTGAATGGCAGGGCCTCCTGGAGGCGGTACTGGGAAGAGGAAGGAGGGTAGGTCTGCTGCCGGCGCAGTGAGGAGCCACTAGTGTGGTCTTGAGATGATGAGACCGTGGTCTGTGTAAAAAGTCATTACCATTACTATTGAAATTTTCAATCATAAAAATGTCTACGTACTACCAATTATTACCAACTACCAGTTAAAACTGCGTATGTACAAACTGTGGCTTTCCAACATGTGTATTCTTAAGAGCTGCATTCTTAACCAAGATACTACATTATTTGGATCAAAATAAAAAGTAATACTAATGTGTACAATATATACGCCTTTCAAACTGGCTCTTCATCATACAGAAGTCTGTGTACTCACCTGGCTGAGGTTGAGTGGTTGGGACCTGCTGGGCTCCTGGAGATTAACGCTCTCCCCTGAGCTGCATGGCTGCCGTGTGGCTGCCCTTTTAGGCTTGATGTAGGAACTCTGCAAGACTCCTATACACAGTACAACAGAATTCATACATTTGAAATAAGTTTAATTATATCAGTTACCGCACTTCGAATACAACACTGTATTTAAACAACAAGGAAAATATTAGCTTACATTTAATGTTGGTAACATTAGCTTTATTCTGGACAAGTTATCTCCCTTCATTGCGGTCAGTAGATTGGAGGCCACATATTTAATGCATTCTTTTCTATGGTACTTACCTGTAGCTACTTTGGCCAGTGCTGAGCTCTCCCCTGGCTGGGTTTTCACTGAAGGAGCAACAACCGCCAAGGACTTTGCCAGGCGCGAGGGCTGAGCTGCCAGGCTGTTTCGGGGCAGAGGGGTCAGGGGGCTAGCAGTGGAGGAGTCTGAATCATGGACTGTGACACAGCTGATAACGTTGGTTCTCTGACTGGGTCCACAGCTGTCCAAATCAAAAAGTAATATACCATGCAAAATGAGGAACAAGCCATTTTTCTTTTTTTTTTTTTCAAAAGGTTATAATCATGCAAGCTGTCCAAAAGACCTAAAACACTACTGCCTTTCTGGCTGTAACCCCAAGAACCGTGACCTCACCTAGCAGGGTGGAACTTTCTCTCGTCCTCATCATCAGAGTCGCTGTGGATGGTGATGACACTGACAGCAGGGCTGGGTGTGTCAGAGATGACAATTGGCTGAGAGAGGGCAGCACTATTGTAAGGTGTGCCAACCAGACCACTGCAGTGAAAGAAAAGAGCAAGGGAATTATGCAAGTTTGCTCCATGCCAGTCGTTTCTAACGGAATTTGATTGACTACTTTAATTAGTCTAACAACATTCAGTTAAAGCATTCTATTGAGTTTATCAATGTAATTACACCAATTTGCTTTAAGATGCATTTCTTCAATTTTTAAATTGTTAAATCAGATTAATTTCTCCTGCTCACAAAACATCCATAAAGGGAGTGAAGATGTTGGGGCAGTACCTGCTGCTGTCCAGGCAGCGAGCCCTGTTTCTTTTGCTTTGTGATGATCGAGTGGCGCTGGATGCCCCACGGTTGAGAGACTGAGTGGAGTTCGAAACATGAGGGTTCTGCTGAAGAACTGTGCTGTGAGATGCCCTGGGGGAGAAGATTAGACACGTCATCAGTGGACTTGACATGAGGGTGTAGTAAGGATCCATATAAGAATGCAAATAAGTATTTCATGAATGTCTTAGTTTGCTGGATGACCTACTTCAATGATTACATTCATTACAAATATGGAATATAGTTATATTCATGTACAGCATTTCACTATACATGCGCTAGAACTCAGTAATGCAGCACAATACCTGCCATGTACAGGCACTACCAGTATGTTCCATGCTTTATTTTATGTTGGAGCAGCTTCACAGTTCTTAGTAAAGTTTACAGTGCTGTCTGGTACAGTTCTTAACTCCAGTTTTAACTGTTTGATAACGATACTCATGGAGTATCATTATGTGCAGTGTTATGTTTTTATATTTTATTGTAAATATTGCGTTTTATTGCTGTTCAAAGAAAAAAAACATGTATCTCCATTTATTTCGATTTTTACTTTGTCATTTGAGCACAACAACAGTCTTTTATATTGTGTGAAAATTTTGTGATGAATGGTCCAATAGAAATGCTCCAAAATTGCTTAGAAAAAAATCTCTTTACATTAACTTACATTTTTGCCTTCTCCTGTAAAGTTACTATTTTGGAGATGCATGTATTTATTTGGACACCAACGATATATAACAAACTAGTGATGCCATAAACCATGACAATACATTATTACTGCAATTATTTTAATAAAAATGTTTATGAGCATATGCCTACCTACAAACATAACTTTATTTATTGTACTTTTTTCCAAAATATGTTTTCAATTTGTCCACATTATGCCTACCTCCAGCTGGGTGTCTGCTGTGTGGAGCTGTCCGAGAGGATGGTCTCCAGGGGTGATTCTGTAATAGTCTGCGCTGTGCCAGTGCCGTGAAGGGTCATACCCGGCACCTGCTGCCAGGCAGGGGGGAGAAGGATCTGCTGTGTGCCCGTCTGCCAGGCCTGCTGAAAAGGGACAGACACAAAACACACGCTCAAGCAAACTAGTTTTACCAAATCGCTTCTATAAGGGCAATATTACACATTCCACTGCCTCGAAATAAGCAAGGGAGGGTCATTTCGAGACAGTAAATCTCTGCAAGAGATACTTGTGTTGGAGGGAGGGTATATGAAGACTCATGTACTCAAGAATGATTGCTGTACATGTATGCATAAGTAATTGCACATGGACACTGTAACATGGCATAATGTAACAGTCCCTTAACCAGCATGCTGATGGAACATAGGCCGTTTAAGCATGACTACAAAACAGTAAAAGCACAGCCCAAAGTCAACAATCCACATCTGCATAAAATCCAGCACTTCAGTTCCAAAGCCTAAAATACAGCTCAGAGCTTTGCAGAAGCACAGCCGCGTATTTATAGAAGTTTTCAAGCCAAGACCAGCACGCCGTGCAAAAACCTTTCACAAGCATGTAATAACAAAAAGAGATGGGATGGGGGGAGCAGGTGGTCAAAGTCCAGCAACCTGTTGAAAGGAGTATTAGCTGTTAACAGTTTAGAAAATGAATAAAAAGGACAACTTCACACAGACAGCAATCTAGTAAAACAAGTAAATAAATAAAGAAAATAAAACAAAAAAAGAAGAGCCATGGCTATAATGGCAAAGACAAGGCCAGAAGACCTGTGGATAGACAGGGCTATGAAGGAGTGTGAGTGTCCTTGAGCTGCGGACGAAGTGAGCTTCCTCCCCTGAGAGAAGGAAAAAAAGATGAGAAGAAGAGCGGGGGATGGGGGAAGGGGCACAAAACAACAAGAAGCTGCAAGCAGCCAAATGGGCGAGTCAGCACATGCGTCCCATGCCTGGAGCAGACCTGCGCAGAGAGAGAATGCGGGGGGAGGGAGAGGTGCAAGAGATAGAGAAGCTGAAAATAAAATTAATAGTGGAATAAAACTAGAAAACAGTAAGAGCAGACAGAGAAGGAAAAAAGACACAAAAATACAGACACTGAAAAGCGAAGACGAAGAAGAAAAGGGAATAAAGCCAAACAGCGAAAACAAGGAGAATAAAAAGAGAACGCTAGAGAGTGAGAGCAAGAGACAGAAAGAGAAAGTGAGAGAGAAGCTGAAAAAGATGAAACAGTGGGAGAAAGAACATGAGACGGACAACCTAAAGAGAACGAAAAGTACATAGAAAAGTCACAGGAGACAGAAACTGAAAAACTGAAAAAAGTTACAGTAAAAGAAAACCAGAAAACAGCTAAAAACACAGAGGGGAAAAAAGAAAACAGAAAGCTAGAAAGATCTGTAGAATGAAGAAAAAAGGATAAAAGAAGAAGCAGAGATCACGAAAGTGAGAGCAAGAGGCAGGGAGGCATGAAAGATGACTGTGTTAGTGGTAGAGTCCCAGGTGGGTGGCTCTTTACCAGCACGGTGGCTGTCTGCTCCAGCAGGGAAGGCCTTCCTGCCCCGCAGCCCAGTGCCAGGGGCAGCGGGTACTGGGACGGCACGCCCGGCGCATGGGGATGCAATGTGGCCACCATCAGCGGCGTACAGGAGCCCTATGGAGGTTTAGCCATGGGAGAGGGGAGGGCAAAAGGCATGGCCAAGTTAGAGAAATTTCCCTCTCAGGGTGAAGAGTACAAGGCTGCCATCCCACGTGCCACTGTGGGAACATATATGGTCTCATGGACGTTATAAAGAGCAGCAGGGTCTCCTCCTCTCTCCCTGCCACCTCCGTTTATCATCAAATCGTCATGCTTCAGATCCTTCTGAGTTAGATATCAGCCATTTCACTAACAGACTGTGATGGAAAAACATAAACAGCCTTACCTGCGCCAGCATTCCTGGCTGAATCTGGAGAGGCTGCGTATTCTGGCTCTGCTGCACTACAGGAACTCCGTTCTCCATTCTAACAGGATAGCTGGAGGTCTTGCTGGAGGACGGAAGCCCTTCAGGAAGTAACCGAAAAATGAAAATGAGCACCTTGGAAAAACATATGTATTAAAATTCCTTTGAACAAAGAAAACAATTTGATTCCTACGCTAAAAATCAATGCCTTCACAAGCTGAATTCTATGTATTTGAGCAAAAACAGCTTTTCAGGTTAGATTTGAGGACATAACACTTTAGTAGTCATGACCCAATACCAGCAGCAATGCCCACTAAAGCATGTTTTTCACAGCTTGCCTTACCCTGAATGGTTGCGGAGGGGCAAACGATGAGGGTCTGCTGAAAGGGCTCAGTTTGGGCACACAGCTGAGGGGGGCGGCTCTGCAGGGGGATGCTGGGCTGGGCCAGGCCCGGGATGTTTATTGTGGCCTGTTGATAAAGGGCTGGCTGGTAGTTGAGGAGAGGCACTGCTCCACCGGCTGAGGGAACCTAAGAACATACACAACACTTCTGATGGAGACCATCTTGAAGATCTTTATCTTATTACCAAAACAAGAGAACACAGAGAACAAAGTCATTCATGCACGCAACCTGGGGAGTTGGGGACTATATTCCTTTGCAGCATATAGACTTTACATGTCTATCTCTACACTATCAGGATGATTAAACACAAGAGCAAGACCAGGAATTCCAACAATCCTGAGAACAAGTCAACCATTTCTGCGTTAGTTCTCCTTTGGCACATTCTACAGTGTTTAGTTGATGTACACAAAAGGAACTATCTGATCCTAAATGAGCATGTGATCCGCACCTGGTTGTTCTGGTTAAGCTGACTGCTGAAGGTCACAGTCAGGTTGCCTGTAGTGCCAGGAACAGTATTAGCAGCAAAAAGAGCCTTCCCATTGTCATAGCTACTGTTCCTCCGCTTACACAGCTCCATGTTCTGGAAGCATGACTTCACACTGAAACAAGGAAAAATTATTTAGGCTTGGACTACAAAGTATTTTCAATTGTCATTTACTACTTGCATTGCAATTTAGTTCAACACTAGTCTTAATCCATGTACGGAAAACCAGCTAATAAAAGCTTCAGTTATTAAAACCTTTATGAGAATAGTCAAAACAATACTAATTTATTATTATTATACATTATTAATTAATTATTATTACTATTATCAACTGCTGATTCTTGTGCACAAATCAAAAATAATGTTCTTAATTTATTCACACCCATCTTGTCACAAATCAACCACCCCCATCAACACTTGCACTCCATGTACTTACTGAGAGCTGTGAGGGAAGTCCAGCAGATGGCTCATGGTGACGAAGGGATGGGCCAGTGTCTTGGTAGGGGTGATTCTCTTATCAGCGTCCAGCCGGAGCATCCTCTTTAGCAGGTCAATGAACTCCCGCCGGTCCGCCTTCTCTGCCAGCATGTCTGTGCCCTCCAAGTGAGAGGACAAGTTGACCTGGAAGAGGGTCCATTCAGTGAAAGGTCATGGAGAGGAAGTGACTGTAGACTGCAGCACAGATCTCGATCAGTATACGCTGAACAAACAGTTTACGGGTTGCGTTTTCTTTAAATACCTGCATCATGTCATCCAGACAATTAAAGATGTACTTTCGTGCTTCTTTGGACTTGATGCCCATCTCTGCTTCATGCTCTGATGGAGTCTATTGAAGAAAATGAAAAGCACAAGGTTATGGCTTTATGAAGAGACCTGCAAAATGCAAAAACGACTCAAAAACGCTCATGAGCATGTCAGCTCAATAGGGCTGATAATACCTCAAAAAGTGTATGCCACACACTGTGTAAAATATAGAGCACAAAGACTGATGGCGCCGTGTTACACACATGGTAGGCTTTTTTGGCTTAAGGCAGGCCAGTAGATGTCCATAATTCAATATTTCACACAGATTTAAAGCCCGATTTCTGCCAGAAAATAAAAGCAAACCAAAAATCTACCGCTTACTGTCATGGGATTGTTTATGTTACCATGGCTATGCCACTGCCTCTGAAATGTCGACATAGTTCTGATCAGGCAGAGAAGAGTTTTTCTTGCTTATTCAATCTGGACTAAGGAGTTAGGGTTTTTTTAATCTGGTTAATTTGGTTAATGATCAACAAGTCATATCTTCAGAATAATTCGGATATTTCTAATATTTGCAATCAAGTTGACTCCACATGTAAAAGGTTCGAAAGCAGGAGACTGATGCCTACAAGCTACAGTGTAATGAAAAAGTAAAGCTAAATACAGTTATTACCATCAGTTGCTGAGCACACAGAAACAACTAAACTCAGTTGCCAGCCATAATTCATATAAAGTTGTGCATGCTCAATAAATAAAAACAGCAACAACCATGCACAGGTTAACAGCACGATGTCAGTGTTTTCAAAAAGCTGCATTTTGCCCATCCAAAAAAAACCAAACAAAAACATTTTAAAACAAGACTTCACAAAAAAATAAATAAATAAAATAAACTCCACCCTGAAGAGTGTTTTCAAAAAAGTCAATTTTCAATGACCTAAAATTCTGTTTTCATGTGGACAATAAGGCAAAAACACAAAAGAAAAGAATGTTGGACAGGGCCTCAGAAAAATAGACACTGCATGATGGTATTAAGTATGTGGATGTTACACAATGACAAAATACCATCTAACAAGCAAGTGAAAAGAAAATGGATGTCCTTTTTTATGTAACGCAAAGAAATACATTACTGTATGTCCTATTCAAATAAATAAATTAATAAATAAATACATAAAGAAAGCAGCCAGCCAGCTGAAAAGTAACATGTCAGTTACACTTAAAATCGTATTATACTTCTCAAGTGAAGCTTAACTAGCAGAAAATAGACATATTTATATAATACTGCTTACCTTCAGCCTCCACAGTGGATAACTGGAGTCAGGCCCTCTGTGGAAAAAGCGGGTGGTTTTTGTGCCGGCACTAAGCAAATACTCCGCTGGCAAGCCCTGGGTCTGAGAAATATACCGAATCTGGAGGAGTACAAAATCCAATTCAGTGCATTCTGCATACTGTAATACAATACATTACCTATTTACAGAGTAAAAGTCATCTAAAGAGTAGGTTATCTGACCTGGTCATACTCAGATGCCCCAGGATACAGCGGCCATCCGAGAAAGAGCTCCGCAATCACACAGCCCAGTGACCACATGTCAATGGCTTCACAGAATGGCAGGCCAAGAATGATCTCGGGAGCTCTAGAGTTGGAAAAATAAATGAGTAAACGTAATAAAGGCCCAATAGGCACTGTGAAATACACCAATATCACCAATCACTAGCCCATTTTAATTCTTTAGAGGCTGATCCTCCCTCACCTGTAGTAGCGAGACTGCAGGTACGTGGAGCACACAGCCTTGGAGACGTGGCTGGCTGAGCCAAAATCTATAACCTTGACGCGGTATGGCTGCCTGATGGGGTCCACCAGCATGATGTTTTCTGGCTTTAAGTCTGCATGGATCAGGCCAAGGCTCTTGAGCTTCATCAGGGCTGTGGCTACCTGCTGCAGTATTGGCCGGATGTGGCGTAGTGGCAGAGGGCTAAACTTGCTGTGCTTCAGGAAGTCATAGAGGTTCTGCTCCAGCATCTCAAACACCAGGCATGTGTGGCCTTTGTGCTGGAAACACTCATATGAACGCACAAAGTTGAACTCGTCTGCATTCTCTGCACTGAGACGGTTCAAAATGCTCACCTGGAAGACAGAGGGATTGAAAAACTGACTGCATGTAATAGATGTTCTAAATTAGAGATCACATTCACTGTTAAAAGTAACAGCACTAACAGCATCCATATTACATAATCAGAAGAAACTAGTTTTTATTAACAGGGCTGCAACAATTACTTGACGATCGATTACTAGTCGATTAGTCAACAATGTTAATTCATTTTAAAAATGCTGACACATCGTTTACCTAAAAACAAAAGCATTCTATAAATGTTCATACAACAGAGTCAGTATAACTGATTGCAGTACCCTACAGGACCCACTAGGGGCAATCTCACTTCTGTTGTGTCACTGCACCATAAAAGAAGAAACTGCTTGTTGTCCATCTCAGTTTGCTCTATGACAACATTTCCCAATCTTGGTTGCGAAGTAAGCAATGTACGTTTTAGTGTTTCCTCTGCTCTTTGGAACAATTTTAAATTGTTTGTTAATAAGGCAATGAGTTGAGTCAGGTCTGTTGAGAGCAGCGAAAGCTCTAAAATGTTCTGTGCATTGGTAATCCAAAACAAACACAAGAAAATTATGCTCTACGAGAACAGATTCTATGATCCAGTAATAACTCACCTCTATCTGGCCTTGTCGTGCATATGAAGGATGATTCTTTAGGATTTTAATGGCCACGATTTCATTGGTGCCTCTTTTCCAGCATTTGGCCACTTGCCCGAAGGTTCCACGGCCGAGGAACTCCAGCACCTCGTAACTGCTGGAGACGGAGCAGAGGATTTCATGCTGGACCAACTGGTAGTCTCCTTCGCAGTTGGAGCTGCTGCTCTTGGTGGTGGGCGCGGAGTGGGGGATCGACTGTGCTGTGTTGCCCCCGGCAGCACGAGCTGAGTAGGCGGGGGCCGACAGCTCCTCCAAAATCTGCACGCTCCCGCTGCCACTGTCCCCGCCTCCCGACCGATCCACCTCCTCGTTCTTCCTCTTCACGCCGTATCTCTGGCTGCGGGATGCATGTGACTCTGCGGGACGGCGGCTGGAGCCCTGTGGGGCACCCCCTGTGCTGTCGGCGGCACGGACCACCACCTGGCACCGGGAGGCTGGTGGGAAGACCAGGCCGGAAGCGCTGAAAGGGAGCGCTGGGGCAGCGTTGAAGCCGTAGGCCTGGCCCACAGAGCCATAGGCCTCACTGGAGGCGTCCCATGCGCAACTCTCCACCTTCATCTTTTTCACCCGGCAGAAGGCACTGGAAGACACGGATGGAGGAGAGAAGACTTGCAGCTGGGAGGCCATGCCTGGGAATAATACAGGCAAAAGGGCAGTCAGAAGTTGTAACCTATTTTGATAACTGCACTGATGCACAACAAAACAAGTTTTAATGCCAGAGGCTTGGAGCACAGGACATAATGGTGAAAAGCTGCACAACATTATACAGCATATGCATACAATACACTGCAATACATTTAACATGTATACTACATGTGATCAAGACCAATAGTAATGACTAAATTCATACAGTCTCACAAATCAACTTAACTGAAAAGGCCGAGGGAAATAACAGAAATGTACCAGTGCATATGTTTTCCTCATTTTTACACACATGATTAAGCTGCATGGGCCATAAAAACCATCTACGGCAAACTGAACTCATACCATGCAAAGGAAAAAAGCAATCCCCTACACAATTTCGATCGTGCAGATCATGCAATACCTTTTGTACATGTCGTTCTGTGTAACTTTGCGCTTAGTGTTTACAGTAGCTACAAAATGACTCCACCCTTTTCCAAAGAACTGCACTATTTCTGTCTTCGTCTACATCTACTAACATTACAAAAAACTCTGACAACTCACATAAGATCAGACTGAAGAATACATTCCTTAAATACACCAACATGTTATGTGTCGTTACTCCGTCATCACTGTTACATTCATCATACAGTGAGCTGGCTAGCATGGCTGCTAGTTCGAATAACCTGCTCTGGGGACCTCAGAACCGACGTTAAATGGTTGCCTGTATATTAAATAAAACATTAACTACCAAAATAAGTAAATATAGAAAGGGTTTATCCGTGTTAGGTGAATACCTGAGTACGTTAGTCCTCGTTTCGTGAGCCAGCTCGGAAAGGTTTAAATCCCACAGCTTTCGGCTTAGGCCTTCATTGTTAGCTAGCAGTTAGCCGGCCCGCAGCAGCAGCCTAGAAAACGGGTGAAAACACACCGCGCTCGGTACTAAAATACAGATTCATGGGCCTCAGAGTTTAACCAGATGTCCTGTTATTTGAGTCTTCGGTTTTGTATTCCTAAAAAGAAATCAAGAATCCTTAAAAATCCACGTAAAAGAGGCGAGCTCCTCTCACCGGAACATCGCGAGTCCGATTATCAGCTGCTAGAGTGAGGCTTCCTGTCCCGACTCGCGAGAGAATCGTTTTATTTGAACCGGCTCTTTTCAGCAAGTCGGTTGAACCGAATCGCCCGTCACACTGAGTCGAGCTTTTTGTATTTTTTTGTATTCTTTCTTTGCGGAATTATAACCATTCACACCTTTCATCATCATGAAAACGGAACATAAAATAACACAATGCATTAAAGGGGAAATTTTCAAAAATTCTGAATAATTCAGTCCTTGAGATGTAAACAGAGACATTCAGAGCGGTTTGATAAGAAGTGGCTCACTGCAGAGAAACTTAGCAACTCAGATTCTTTCACAGTGGTGGTGATTGGAACCAGCGGTATACAATGTCTACAACCTGAATATAGCCATTTTATTTACTATTCAAAACCACCAGGGAACCTACATCTGTCTGCTGAGTTTCTATATGTAATGTTGACCATGACAAAATAGTCATAAATCTAAAAAAAGTTTTCTTTGGGGACTGTTTTGCCTTACACGGATTAAAATAAACAAAACTTTAAATGAATTAAAATACACTTTAAGCCAACTTTATCGCAAAAATATCATAAAAAATGTGTCAGACATCAGGCAGCATACATCTAACCACGTCACGTAATAACTCAGAGGTAACTATCAGAGTCATTAAACTCTTCAAATGTCTGGTTCCTATCACCACCACAAACAATTCTGACTCAGTAAGTTTTTCTAGAACAGAGCAATTCATAACAAACCACTCTGAATGACATTGATTACATTTTAACCATTTAATTATGTAGATTTTTTAAAAAAAATTGGAGTGGAGTTCCCCTTTAAAGACCCTATAAGCCATCTGGAAGAAAGCTATGAGGCCTACACGAAATAGTTATAAATACATTAGGTAATGATTGTGACATTGTTTCACTATGGGTTTAATATGAGGTTTATTAAAACATGCAGAGTGCTGTATGGTAAAATGGTGCCCAAAGATATTTCTCCCCAGATGTTTTCCTATTTTTTTCATTATTAACTTTACATATAACAACTCAGCAGACAGATGTAGATTCACTGGTCATCATGGATAAGTAAATAAAATGACTGTATAGTTGTGTTGTAGATGTCTACAACACAACTGTATAGCCATTTTATTTACCCCTAGTTTTCATAATCACCAACACACACTGATACAGTGTAAACACACTGAATGACTGTTTTACAGAACAACTGAACTGAAATGTAAAAGTTTTATTTTGCCTCCATAGTGAGTTTAGAAGAGTGACATTGCATATGAGATTGAGAATAAAGTTCACTTGACCAACTGTCTAAATGTTGTGCTGATGAAAATGAGATTTTCTGCACTATTCATTGTGGCGCGCCAACAACGAGTGAAAATGGAAAATGAGTCATCGAATCAGACGTTCGATTCAACGAAACTGACTGCTCAAAGGAATCGGCTCGCTAAACTGAATCGAACTTCCCATCACTTGCCTGTAACGTGAACTGCGAGGAATGTTACGCAAGGCCTCGGATTGGAAAATACCGGCGAGCGTAGTTCACTGAATGAGGATGTTTACCCGTTTCTGTGTGAAAACACTGCTCCGTGTTTGTGTCGTGACTAACAAATGAGAGCTGATGTAGGCATCCGGGAAAAAATAGTCTCCCCGTACATTAGTTACTCGGTAACGGTTACTAAGGCTGCTCTGTAAATAACGCGTCTGACGTTCAGAATGGAAAGACTCATCGAATAAACCGGTTCCTTTTCAAGCTGCCCGGATTAAAATAATAAATTAAAAACATATAATGGCTGGACCGTCTACCCACAATGAGAAATGAGCCACCGTGGGGGCTGTAAAAGTGAGAAAACAGTTGTTAATGTGTTTCTGGATGTTCTCAGAAATGGACTTGTTCTTAGAATGCGCAGCACAAAGCTATCTATAGACGTCCGCTAAGCCGCTTGGAGATTTAATTATATTGGTCACTAATCTTTCCCCAACAGGAGATATCTTGCACAGCTTGGGATTGTCAAGGGTTGAATGATAATAAAAAAGCCTGTAAAAATCTGCAATAGCAGACTAAGGCCTTGGTTGCTTGTTTATAGCGTAATCTATGATTTAGTAATAGAAACAAAATCCAGTATTCAGCGAGAAGGAAAGTTCACAACACAAGAGTTGGTGCTTTTACAGGTTCCCCCTTATAAGGCAAAATAGTGGATTTTGTAGGACTGCAGTAAGTGACTTTGGTTTCATAACTCAAGATCTACTCAAATAAGAAAGTAAAACTACACTAAAATGTCCAGAAGTATCCAGACATTCCTTTTAATTAGTGAATTCAGTGACTTGCAGCCACTCCTGATACAGGCTTGTACAAACCCCATTTCCAGAAAAGATGGGACATTTGGTAAAATGCAATAAAACGTGAATCTCTGATGAGTTTAATCTCTTGAACCTTTATTTAACTGACAAAAGTACAAAGAAAATATTTCCATTGTTTTTTTTCTGACCAACTTAAATATAAACAAATTTAGAATTTGATGTCCGCAAAAGATAAAAAAAACTCGGGACGGGGCAAAATAAATAAAGATTCAAGAGAATTTACAAATCACCGATTTTTCTTTTTATTGCATTTTACAAGTGTCCTAACTTTTCCAGAAATGGGATTTGTATCATGTTCATGGAAAAGCATTGCCAACATGAGCCCAAGGTTACCATGCCCAATGCCAAGCGTATAAAGCCCCCAGCACTGGGCTGTAGGGAGCTGGAGTGACATTTGTGATCCAGAACTAATCATCCAACATCAGTACCTGACCTCACTAATGCTCTTGTGGCTAAATGCAATCAAATCAGTAATATTCCAACATCTAGTGTAAAGCCTTCCCAGAAAAGTGGAGGCTGTTACTGCAGCAAAAGAGGGCAGGGTAAACTCCCTATTAATACCATTGATTTGGTCAGAAATGTAAGACATGTTGGGTGAGCAAGTGTCTGACATAAAAAGCATCAAAAGCCTTTCTGAAAAAAGCAAATGTTTCTGTTAAGCATGACTACACTGTAGTCATATGAAAGTGAAAATGGTTCTCTCTTACACCTCTAGTTCTTCACAAGGACTTCCAGGTTTTGTATGACACTGTGATGAAAAGCACAAAGGAACAAAATCTCTATCAATCAACAAAAGGATGCTGTATATTTATATTTGAATCGAATCATTGAATCACGCTTTATTAAACCACTTTCACAAAGTGCAAAGGAATAAGAGCCACAGTTGATTCTTGCCTGACAAAACAAAATGAATGTAAGTATAACTAAACAATTTCCATTTTTTGACAGCACCTTGTATGCCCCACATCTTTCTATATTATAATATATAGAAGTTTCCAGCAATAAAATGATGCACCAAAAAATAAATAAATAAAAAAAATAAAGAGGTTGTTGCAATGCTGTTAAAAGCAGATCCACTAGAACACTTTTACCTCCAAGCCAATCGCAGAGAAATCTGATGTGATAAATCAATGGAAATCAAGAGGGACAAATGAAGATACACCCAAAAGAAACCATAAATAGTAAATAGAGGTGCTGTGGATATAAATAATTCCTCAGTTGAAATTGGTCTTTTACCACTTGTATGTTTAAAATGACAAAACACTGGTCCTTTGTTCTGTAACATGACTAATGAAACAACACTGCCTCAGGTATTTGGGCCTTATTGATCATTTTTTAAAAGAATGTGGCCACGTGCTGAGGCACTGACGTGGTCCGGAGATGGTGAACAACCTTCAGCCTAGAGAGCTTCTCTTGTACGCTAATTTAAAAAAAGCACCCTGATCTTCTTCAGCTTCCAAGAAGGGTGGATCAGGTTAGTCGTTTCAGTTTTTTCCTGGCAGGAACAGGAGCTCACTTTTGTGATTTGATACTCACAAAGGTGGCTTCAGCCCAAGCAAGTCCTGTCTCATTCCTGGGCTATGCTCCGGAGTACGTACTTTACTGTGTAAGCAAAGGCAGCAAAGCCAACTATTACAAAAAGGTTAGCCAGCGCTCCACCAAGGAGTCCGTGGTTACGGTTAGCCTGCTGGAGGGCAAGCGGCTGAGGGGCTGCCGCTACACCCAAAGGTGCGTGTCCATTCAGTGCTGGCATCCCATAATGGCCCTGGTCTCCATCTGGAATCACGTCTGGGAGAGGGAGAGCTTTTGGTCGTGAACGGAGCTCCTCCTGAGTCCTTTGCTTCTGCTTGATCTCCTGCAAAGGACAAATTAAAGTTCTGGTAGGCACAGTTGTATAAGCAGGGACAGCCTTCTTGAAAGCACACATGAACAGGAGGCCTTGATTAGTAGGACACTCAAAAGCATAGAGAGCAAATATAAAAATATTACAAACATACTACATATATATATATATATATATATATATATATATATATAAAACTTAATTTTCTTTTTTAATTTTGCGGTTTTAAGACTCACATCAACAACATCTGGAAATAGTTCACAGAAAACTTTGTCCTTTAAGTTGAAAGCCAGGCTCTGTGCAGACAGCTGTCTTTTCTGAGGAAGAAACAAGAAAAACATCCACAGTGCTGAATATATAAAACAAACAGTTCTGATTCTAAAATCTGAGAGGCTGAGCCATGTCTGAATTTGTATAGTTGCAAAAGTTTGAGCACCTTGGTCAAATTACATTTTGTTGTAATGTGAAAATATGTTATCACATATCACATTCTTTATAGAGAACACACTTCACATTTTATTGTGTAATTGTAATCATCTTGGAAACTTACTTGGCAACCAGTTAATAAGCTACATTGCTTAGAGGAAGAACTGCTTATTGCTATTATTACTATTAATATTTGTTAGCCTAAATAATTTATTACACTATAGTGTGTTTTATCCATTATGTTTTGTCACTATTTTCTAAAACCTCTGCTACAACACTGCACCTAACAGCACCCTTTAACGCATGGCTTCTTGTGGTTTATGGCTTTAAAGGAGAAGTCCACAGATTTTTAAAATTTCTGCATAATCCAATCATTGAGATGTAAACAAAGTCATTCAGAGTGGTTGACATGAAAACTGTAGAAAATGTATATTGTAGACAGAATTACAGACTTTTAGAGGCATTAAACTCAGACACCTGATTCCTTTCACTATTGCTGTGAACATTAATCCTAATTCAGTGTGTTTCTCTAGAACGCAGTAAAAAAATCAAGAGAATTCACTTTTACAATGTTTTACTTGGCTGTCAGCATGACAACGTGCAATAATATCTACGAAAAAAACTGGCATTTCTTTTTGACGGCTTCTACTACTTCAGACATGGTGAGTGACTTGAAACCATGTATTTACAGTGTAATCGGATGTCTCGATGCTTCCTAGCGTGGGGCCTTTCTCCACCATGAAACTCAGCAGCCCTGTGAGGATGGTGGAGACGGACCATGCAGGGTTCCAAGTGTCCGGATGGAAGTCAGTAATGGAAAGGCACAACCTGAGCAATGAAAACACCAAATCAAGAGAAAGTACGAAGGGCATCTCCTGTAAACAAATAGTTTTAAAGTCTCTTATGCTTTTAAAAGTCTTACCTTGTGTTGCACTTGAATCTCCCATTCGGGGTTATTATGTAAATACTAGGTGGTTTGAAAGGAAATTCGCGTGGGAATACCAGTTTTCCATGATAGTATCCCCCTTAAAGTAACAAGGGAAAAGAGCTCAGATTAAGCTACATTTCTAGAATTCCAGGTAACAAGACGAGCAAGGACCACAAATGACCTAAATGCAAGAGCCTGAATGTTCAAAAAGCCTCAAGCGAACAGCAGTATCACTGAAATTAAAAAACTGCACTACCTTCATATGGGGTTTTCTCTGGTCCCCGAACAACATAGTGCCTAGATCAGGAATTGTGGCATAATGAGAAACTTCAAAATACAGAAAGGGACTAATTTTATATATATATATATATATATATATATATATATATATATATAATTACATTTTAAAACACAGCTTACAGTAATTCATTGATCAAGCCTGTTGCTAGACTTCTAGAGTTCAAGATAAACAGATACGTTAAGGCCAAACTCTAAAATGTGTTACAGTTTTGAATATGAGGTGTATCACAAGATGCGGCCATAGAGCTTTTCATAGATGGAACTAAATATGAAGTAGTACCATTCCAAAATATTTGAGGGAAGTGGTTCAGCACAGATGTAAGGCACAGGGTCTTTCTTTATTCGGAGGTAATCTTGTTTTAGTCGCTGCGTTGCTGTTGTGGGTGCCTTCTTGTTCACGCTGCTGTTCATCTGAAAAAAACGAGATATTCTATCTGTAGAACATGTGGAATAAGTTATTCTCTTATTCACTCCATAAAGACCAAACTCTCCATTATATTTATGTGAATTCAGAACTATTGCAGAATACCCATACAGAAATCTGATATATGGCCATGTAAGCACATTTATCATAAAGTGTCAGGCATATATTTTAAAATAGATGTACATATATGTTATGCACACACACACACATATGTGTAAGTATGAAACACTGGGTATATATGCATAATATATGGTAAAATCTGAATCTGCTTTCAAAAAACACTTTATGTCACATTTTGAGAACCTATTCAAGACTGAAGTTCAATTCTAAGGTTATTCAAGTTTCTTCCAGCACTAGACTAGAGGTGCTGATTCAGATATGCAGTCATGGTTTCACCTGTCACCTGGAATAATGTGCTCAATAACAATATGTTTGAATTTGTTTCGCGGACTACCTTTACAGTGAATCCGCCTCAATAAACAGCACAATCTTGGCAAAACTGCCTCATTGCCCTTTCCCCAATGTTATTTCGGCGGAAGCTAGTTTCATGTTGAGAGCTACACGGGAAAGTACCTTTAAGAAGAAAGTTTTTAAAACGTCTCAGCACGTCAGCAACGAAACCTTTAGTAGATCAAGGCGGGTTTCGGGTCTATAACTGCTGATGACATCGTCTGAAAGACAGTAAACCCATCCGTTAACTGGCTTTCTAGCTAACGTTAATTAGCGAAAGCGCTTTGCAGCTAGCTGGGTTGGCTAATACAGCTAGGCTAACATCACTCGGATAACTGATTAACTGTCACTCTTGCTGCCACAAGAAACACGGTTCGAGAAATACACCACATATGAGTGCCAGTTACTGACCTCTCACACCAGAGTGGGACAAAGCTTTTGGGGTCTGACGACAGACAAGCGGTGTTTTTTTATATCGCGCTGTGGAGGAAAGCGGCTGGATTAAAAGGTTAGCTTAACCTAGCTACTGTTTACATCACTGCCGCTTACTGTAGCGCGCGTTCACGACGCGAGCGCGAGTCCTGGTTGCGAGATACTAAAATCTGAAGTCACCGAGTAGTTCACTGTGTAGAAATCATCACTTCATGATTTATTTAGTGCCTTATATAATGTAATCATTTCGTGTAGGCCTAGTAGCTTTATGCGAGATGGCTTTTAGACGCATTAAAGGGGAACTCCACCAATTTTTCCAAAAAAATCTACATAATTAAATGGCTGAGATGTCAACAGAGTGGTTTGGCGTGAAATGCTCCGTTCTAGAGAAACAGAATTGTTCACAATGGAGGTGATAGGAACCAGACGTTCCTAAGAGTTTAATGCCTCTAAAAGCTCCCTCACAGAAAGTTATTAAATGAAATTGTTAATATACGCTGCCTGATGTCTGATACATTGTTTGATGATAGTTTGTGATTTGGCGTAAAATGTATTTTTTTCTTGTATTTTTTATTTAACTTTATTCATGGTGGAGGGGTACATGCAGAGCGTTATGAGGCAAAATAGTCCCCAAAGAAAAGGTTTTCCAGATTTATGACTATTGTATCATCATCAACATTACATATAAAAACACAGAAGGCACGTGTAGGATCACTAGTGGTTTTGGGTAGTACATAAAATGGCTATATTTGTGTTGTAGACATGGTGACCCCTGGTTCCCATCACCATCACTGTAAGGAATTTTTCTCAACAATGAGCCACACACCAAACCACTCTAAATGAATTTACATCTCAAGGACTGAATTATTCAGTATTTCTTTTTTTTAATTTCCTTTTAAGTTGGTTTTGGTTGATAATTTAATTCGACATCTACTGTTATTGAAATATGAATACTCTGAATTAAGTGTGGTTTCAAGCTGCTCTACTTGCTTCTGTGTGTTTATTACAGGAACCAAGACTATGTTGCATAAACATGGAGTGTCCTGTTGAGTCATCTGCTTCAGTGCTGCTTCAGTGCCAGTTAAACAGAACATTTTGTACGTGTATAAGTTTATATAATCCTTTTTTGGTACTCTTGTACATGTTAGACCAAAATGTAAATTCACTCCAACTCTCACGCACGTAGTAGGAGCTTTAAAATGAAAAGAGCCGTTGCCTCACTTGTGACCACAAGATGGCATTATTGTCATGCCTCACAAAAAACAGGCGCTACACACATGCTGTCACAATCATGTTTATTTCCATAGAATGTTGAACAAAACAGTGAAATCATGTAATGATCATTTGAAATATGACCAGTATGTGCAAATGTTGTGAATGTTATATACTGAGGATCTAAAATGTTGTAGTTAAAAATGAAATCTTTCAAGCATAAATAAACCCAGACCAGTAAAGTTCTGTGAGGGGACTCTTCTTCATACATGGAGATTGTAGGTCTAGTGTATGCAATAAAAGGACAAATGCAGTTCATAATTCTTTGATGTAAGCCTTACTTTTCACTTCAATTATATCTATTACTACAAGTCCCGAATTTTCACCCATATTATCCATGTTAGAAAAACATTTTTTCCCACATTAATAACACAATCACTTTTATTCACTAATACATGGGCTGCACAGAAGGAAGTGATACTGAGTTTATTTACTAAACTCAAATGTGTACGTACTTCCAGTATGAATGAGTTTGAACCCCTTTGCTGAAGTAACAGCCTCTGTTTTTCTGTGAAGGCTTTACAATTGATGTTGGAACATTGCTCTGAGCATCTGATTGACAGCCATACGAGCATCAGGGAGGTCAGGTACTAATTTTAGATAATTGGTTGTGAATCACAAAAGTCACTCCAGCTCATCTCAGAGGTACTGGGCACAGTTTCACTGCTCCACAGCCCAGTGCTGAAGTGCTCTATTTCCCTCTAACTCCAGAGCATCTCATTATATTGGTGCTGCTTTTCAGTGGTAATTATATAAGTTGTGCAATACTGTGCAAAAGTCAGAGACCACCCTTCATTTAGTGAATTTCCAGTCAAAACGGTCACAAGATTTTTTTTTTTCATCCCCAGAAAAAAATAGAAAACATATGAAGGTTTTAGTTGCAAAATGCATTACAGACTGTTTTAAAAAAAAAGTTCTTTTTTATGATATACATCATTGGGAGTGGGCTTTACACATACAAGAAATATCAATGCTATATTATGAATAATACCATATTAGAGAAATAAAAATGTTTTCCATTTATCATTCCATACATATATATATATGTAATTTTCTGGATTGTTGTCTTGAGATCATGACCTAACTATCTTGTGATCTCAAGACAACAAAAGTTGTTATCTTGAGATCACAAGTTAACTAAGTCATGATCTCTAGATAACAACTTGTCTTGTGATCTCAATATAACAATCCAGAAAATTATAGCCACAGCTCATGCTTCCGTACTGCTCATAGATAAAAGCTTTAAGTGCTGTTTATCTCAATGGGGCCCAATACGTCTTGCATGGTTGTTAAGAGTCCTGTTTTCTCTGTAGCTTTTAATAGTATTTTAACTTCCAGCTTCAAAAACTTGTGTTTTTCACTTGTTTTCCTTTGAGTTTCCTCTACTTTGCATCCTTAGTGATTTATCTAAATATCTAATCTCCTCAGAAATATCTTCTGATAAATGAGTAACTTGTACTTAATGGCTGTTTTGAAAGGAAATTACATCAACAAAAGGTGGTCTTTGACTTCTGCATAGTACTGTATATGTGCAATTCAACATCAATGTCAGCAGTAGGGGCACCTTTAAGTAGCTGAATAAGAAGGATTTCTGGACACTTTTGGACACCTTCGGTTACTTTTAGTATGTATATTACATATACCCAATAACTACCAAAAGTAACTGAGCAAAAAGACAAAATTGATGTTATATAATTTGTTCATGTGGATGTGCTGTACACATTTGAAAGTTTTAAATATAACGCATTGCTTTTTTCAGTGCAGCAGGTCCCACATATGGTGACTTTAGGCCTGTTTGACCAGTAATGATGAAGGATCTTCTCCCGCTCACATTTTCGGGCTTGTCTGGAGCCATGTGCGGAAACTTCCCAAAGATGTCACTGAACGTGGTGGTGTCTAAAACAGGATGCAAAGTTAGCAGGTGGACAACAGATGAATTTTGGCCCAGAGGAATATCTTGTGACACATTTGCATGCATGCATGTAGCTTCTGCATCTCAGTGATGATATTTAATGAAGTCATTACACAAACTAGAGTTTCACAGTCAACAGCATTTACTAATATACCTTGATTCTTTCAGAGAATATATAAAGGATTGATAGCATGTACGCATTCAACTGTGTAAAAAAATATCTCTTCATATCCCATGGTTTTGTGAAAGTGTTTTATTAGCCTGTAGATCAATGGATAGCAGTCTAGATTTGTTGAGCGCTGTAGCGATTCCCATTGGTCGTGTGATGTATTTATGTAATGCATGCTGGGTATTGTAGTAAGAGAACACCAATGAACAAAAACACAAGAATGATACCAAATTGGGAACCGATGAGGCTGAATGACATAATGTTGCGCTACAGAATACTGCATAGCATAGCAAACAGCATATTAAATGCTAATTCAAGAGAGCAGACAATGATAAAGATATTCAGGAATGACTGCAGTATTAGTTCTTGGTACTGCATCAACAGCAGCATGTGAACACTTATAATACCGTGTGCATGGGCCCATTAAACAATAGAAAATATTGAGGGCTATAATGTCTTTTGTAGTGGATTTGTTTGTGAGGGTCCCCAAAGAAAGTAGTTCGGTTGGTGATTCTTCATACTGGATATGGTTAAGCAATAAAGAATATACACTGTGTGTTTATACCTCCTCATAACCCATAACACCGCCACCAAAAAGGAGTAAAAAGAGGAGGTAACATGACTCACTCTGTCCTTGTGCTTTACTTTCCGAGGGCTCAGAGGACCACTGGAGTCTATAAAGAGAACATAACTGATTTAAGACAAGATGCCATTTAAGACTGACCTGAGGAGCTATACTGGATGTATAGGATGCAAGATTTTAAGCCAAAAAGCCTTCAAACTGGAGTACAATCAGCATCAACACCAAATTACAAAAAACTCATGCATACAAATGTCTGAAATTTGGCTTCTTTATTTTTGCACTACAGCTACAAGGCTATTGTAGGTTAGCATTCCCAAATTACATACTTGCCTGTGTCAAGTTGCTAAGTAAACTCAAACAGAATTCAAGATGGCTCCTGGCAATTTTTCACCTACTTTTCGCCCATTTTAGTATCAGAAACTGGATAAGCAAGTCTATTTGAAATGACTTAGGCTCACAACTTCTAACTTTAGCATTGATAGTGAAGCTGTAGAGGTGGTAGACAGCTTTTGCCTACTTCGATCACTCATCAACAACAAAGGAGCCAGCAGTCAAGAAAGCTGACACAGTTTGCCACTCGGCAGTACAAGGATGAAGGGGCTTTAAAAGATCTTCAGATGTAAGGTCTCTCTACAAAAAAGATCTGAACCAATCTGAATCTTATTTTGGACATTTTCCATTTCATTGGAAAAGGTTATTATACTTGGAACAGCTGAATGTAAATAAGGACAGCAACAAGACGGTTGGAAACAATCAGTGGATTCATGAACAAGCCATTAAGAAGCCCAAAGACCCTCTGGAAAAACACTATCCCTGTGGTCACCAGGAGTCAGAAGTGACTTGATGGCCCTTACTAATAATAGGTCAAGAACTCAAGGGTTTGATCCAGGTGTTTTAGGCATGCAGTTTGTGCAATAGTATCTAATGGCTATAAGCTTACATTACTTGTTAGCTACATTAGCAGTGCAAATCTCACGTCTGGCAGTTCCTGTCGTTTCAGACAGACTGCACCATAATGTAGAATTGAGAAATAACTGCTAGACTAGGTTTCAGAATGATCGAGATATTTAGAAAGAGAGAATTAACCCCCCATCCAGGAAAGCAGAGAGATCTACCCCAACACCCATCCACTGTAGCATTTCACTTAAACCAGAGACACAGACTGTATAGAAAGAAAGAAAGACAAAGCGCAGAA